ATTCGTTCTTATTGCGAAATAGGAGCACTATTTATCAATCTGTAATAAAAGACGTGAGGAAATTCTGTCTTTTTTAAAGACAAAAATTTTTGAGACGAAATACCTAAAAAGAAGTTTGTAAAAAATGAATCCGCCTCAACAATATAGAACTTATCTACATCCTAAATTCGTGTGTCCTGAATGAATGGTTCATAAGTATTCGGGCCTGAAATTTCAGTCTGAAAATTCATCAAAAGCTGTTTGAATTTTTCCGAAAAATTGGTTCCAGCTTAAGCCTTCCATTGAATAAATTAAATAAGTGTCCCCACATAAAAAGTCTAACGGCTTAAGATCTGGAGATCGCGGTGTATAAGCAATGGGACTACCATATCTATCCATCGATATTGATAATTTTCATTGAACAAATTAGTTACAGCTCATCCAAAATGCGGCTCTAATATGAACAAAACACTTCCTAATGAATGCTTCAACGGAGCGAATGAAAATGCCGGTCAAACAAAAGTGGGCCAAAAAATTGGTTAAAACTATTCCAAGCAAAAAAATAAATTTGGAACAGAATAGTCAGCCGCTGGATTTTGCTAGACACATTTCCAATCAACTACTTGAAGACGAACATTCCAGGAGTCCTACGTTACATCCGCAATTTCCGACAAAAAACGAGTTTTTTAGTACAAGAAAACTTCTGTTCTTCGGACAAAATTAAAACGACAAATTTGTTTCAAGAACACGCAATTAACTGAGCGAAAAAATGAAGTCACACATATTTTTTTGCAATTAGCAAAGACAAATTTTCAATTCAATTGTGTAATGGAATAATTAACTGGATTAATGTTAATACTGAAAGGTTTTGAAATGGCAAAATCAATGAATCATATTTGAACTCGGTCCATTAGGCACGCTGCCCTGCAATGTGAAAAACCAAACATTATCCACATGTGTTTCACAATTAGTTAATTTTTAATTGGGACTGCTGCTTAAATGAAATATTGCGCAAATGTAAATCCTATATTGCACACAGAGAGTACATTTAGTGCCATTTAAAAAAAATTCCTCGCTTAAAAAAATGAAAGTCACACAATAATGTAGGTTTTGGCATGGCTGCTTTGAGTATTTCCAGCAACATTGGCGTTCTTTAACAGAGTTAATTGAATTGTGAGGTTTAAAATTTATTGACGAATATCAAATGTTTTTTCAGGCTCAAGCAATTTACTAAATAGGGGCTTAAATACGCTATTTGCTTGTAGTTAGCCAGCAAGTCGTTAAACGCGCCCTTTCCACAATTCCCAATTTGTATTATAAAAACAACAATAATGTAATTGAAAATACGATTTATTTGAACATGCCATAATGTATAAGTACGCTACTGGCCGAAACAAAGAAGGAATATAGTCGCTGAGTCGCCGTTTCAATAACAGACAAATAATGTGAAAGTTTATACCTACTAGCCCATGCTGGTTGCTTTAAGAATTTTGTGTCACTATAGATTTCTTTGATATGGTCACGTTCCAAATCGACTTTTTCATCGTCTTTATTTTTTAAATGAAAACGTTTTGTTCTTGGCTCCAGGATGACATATTGAGAACATCGGCCTTCGGAAAATTCTTCAGCGGATCAGATTTTTACATATCAGGCCCGTCTTCCAGTCGAATTCGAGCAACATTTTTTCGTTTTATGTTTGAAATTGCCAATTAATGTGAATCTTGAAGAAAAAACTAATTAAAAAATTCTCCAGCTCTGGTGAGCAGTTTTAAAGAAAATTGGAATTTTCTCCGGTCATTCATCAAAATGATTGAAAACCATTAAACAACAGTTAAAGACAATTCTGGAGTTAATCCGTTGACAATCGGATTTCCTCATTTCTTCAATATTATTAAATGGCCATCTGCAGTGGACAAAAGTGTCGTAAACTAAAGCATTTTTGCCCATTACTGCTTTGGTACTTATATTTCATTAATTGCTATCTCACCAATCGTAATTCCGCATCTGGGGTACTTAAACAGGACAGATTGCTGACTATTGTTGTATCACCACAATATCGTTCCCAAGAAAAGTAGTAAAATGCTCGTAAAATTTTTGTCACTTCTGAAGCTTTATCTATATATCCTTAATGCAATAGCGCCGTAAATTCGACATGTCAATAAATCATTATATTTTTATACTTGTTGATTAAAGTCTGAATAAACAAAGTGTGATTGTATGGAAACCAACTCTAATACTTCACTTTGAGGCAGTTAGCAGTGAATTAGAGTTGGTTGTCTCACACTCACACACAAATGTAAATTGAGTGTGCTCAACTTGCACTTGTGGTGTGCTCAAATGCCTTAAAGTGAATATTAGAGTTGGTTTGATGGCACCCACATACAAACAATGTTAAGTATTAGTTGCGTTAAACAAAAATCTGCAAGTTATATCACACCTCTCTTTCACATTCTACAGACGGTATTCAGGATTAAATATGCGTAGTGTGTAGTGATTTATTCGGAATAATCTGAGCACATGAATTTTTTAAATCACGTAGGTATAATTTAACAGGAATAACGTTTGCATGTCCACAGTAATTCCAAATAGTGCAACGAGTATTATTCTGAGATTCGCGATTTACGTTACTCCCAATACGGAATTTAAATTTTGGTCACACGGATACAAAGCCGAAATCGTATTCGATCAGAACTTGTCATGCATATTTTGTTGCAGGGCAAAATCCAAGATATGAATCATCCTCCTAGTCTTTTAGAACGACTCTCACCAAGACCGACACCTTGCCCGTTGGCTCGATTAGGACACAATAATTCTAGTACTGATGATACAAATACATCGACAGATGGTGGTGAAAAGTATCAACCCTTCCAATATGAACAATATAATCGGCAGACTGGAAGAATCTTCCATAAGCCTCATCAACCAGTGGGACCTGGTTATCTTCAAAAGCAACATGCATCGTCTGAAGAATCTGATTACATGGTAGGTTAACAATGTCTGCATTCACTTGAACATGTCTGATGGAAATATGTGTTGGTGATTACAGCAAAACTATTACGATCAGCCCCATTCATACCTAAGTGAAGATCCGGATTATGATCAAAAGTCAGATCACAGCCCATTGGCGACTACTAATTTAAAATATGCTAAAGGTTCTATAGACTTATCTTCACTATGCTTGGGACCTTCTTATTGGGAAAACGATCAATATGAGAGTAAGGAAAGTGCCAGCGAAAACTCTTCGCATCAGTATTATCGGTCACAAATGCAGCCCCACGATTCCAGTTATCTGTTTGATAATTTTACAAAAATCGGAAAATCTAGTCCAAGTTTAGATCAGGGTTATGCCACGTTGGTGACACCGGTTGCTTCTTCAAACACCAGTCTTTGGAATGATGGGAACATTTACAAGGGAAAGCGGTTTTGTCCCAAAAACAACTCATTTGATAAGCTAGCAGATGATATTATCATTAAAGTATTTTCGTATCTGAACAGTATTGATTTAAGCACATGTGCTCAAGTCTGTAGAAGGTTTGATACACTGGCATGGACCCCATCTTTGTGGAGAGTGATAACCCTTGATGGAGAAAATGTCAGTGGGGACAAGGCTATTAAAGGAGTGTTAAGGCAGTTATGTGGCCAAGGCAGAACTGGCGCTTGTCCTAGTGTAGAAAGAATTTACGTTACAAATGGTGCTAAGTTGTCTGATAAAAGCTTGCTTCTACTTGCCAAAAGATGTCCTGAATTGACGCATTTACAACTTCAGGGATGTACCAATATAACGAATAATGCTCTCTTTGAAATAGCTACTAGATGTATACATTTGCAACACTTGGATGTAACAGGTAAAAGACCACATCACTTCCTAACGCTTCCAAGCTCCAACTTGCATCTGTTTCAGGATGTGTGAAAATATCTTGCATTAGTATTAACTCTATTTCGGATGCCAATAGGAGAATGCAGTTACAGTACTTGGATCTTACGGATTGCGTAACTGTGTTAGATGGCGGATTGAGAATTATTGTTCAAAACTGTCCGCAGCTCGCTTATCTGTACCTTAGAAGGTGCATACAAATTACAGGTAAACCTCAAATTCATATCAGCGTATTAGTTAATCACGTTTCTATTTAATGCGTTTATTGCAGATGCTGGTTTAAAATATGTGCCAAGTTTTTGTTCTGGACTCAGAGAACTAAGTGTAAGCGATTGTTCTAATGTTACAGACTTTGGATTATACGAGTTAGCAAAATTAGGACCAACCTTAAGATATCTTTCAGTCGCAAAGTGTGATCAAGTCAGTGACGCTGGTTTGAAAGTCATAGCAAGAAAGTGTTATAAATTAAGATATTTAAATGCAAGAGGCTGCGAAGCTGTATCTGATGACGCCATAACAGTTTTAGCTAGATCGTGTACTAGACTTAGGGCTTTAGATATAGGAAAATGTGATGTTAGTGATGCAGGTTTAAGAGCTCTAGCAGAAAGTTGTCCAAATTTAAAGAAATTAAGTCTTCGAAATTGTGAGCTAGTAACGGACCGTGGTGTTCAATGTGTTGCGTATTACTGTCGAGGACTTCAGCAGTTAAATATTCAAGATTGTCAGATATCATTGGAAGGTTACAGGGCGGTCAAGAAGTATTGCAAACGATGTGTGATCGAACATACAAACCCTGGTTTCTTTTAAATTTTGTTACTTATTTATTTTTTTAACTAATAAATCTGTTATATTTATTTTGTAAATTTGTATATGAATTATATAAAAGGAATATAGTTGCTATATTTTCTTAGCGTTTTTATTTACTAGTAAATAGCTCAAAAGCCAATCAGTTGAAGATGATGAAGACTATAGCGAACCAAACAATTATATTGACGATGATAGTGAAACAAAGCCAAGAGATAAAACACGGACAAAATACTTATCAGACATCATCATCTCGTTAAAAAAAACAGTGTTTGGCAGCAAACGATAATTTACCAAATGGAACGCTGCTTTGTGAAACAGCTGGAATAAGTTAAAAATGAACTTCGAAAGAACCAATACACTCTACGAGCCAGTTGCTGAATATGAGCCTAAAAGTTCTACAAATGCTAAACTTACCGAAAGCTGCGTAGTGCCACCTGGAAAGAAAGGGGAGAAAGTGCTTAGTAGAGCAGGAAATTAACGCAAATTTATTTGAGCAAAGCAGAGAGAGGGAAATATAAAGAATCCATAGAACTTCAGTTGCTTATCGGAAAATTAAACTCAGTTGAAGCTAAAATATTTATAGATTAGACATTGTTCTTACCAGCTTTCTGCAAGCTGGCGCCAAATCCTCCATTTTCCTCAAAAAGTTCTCTACACTCACAAACTACCGTACTTGCCGCAAGGACCACAATAATTTTATATTATCCATCTAAGAGCAAGATTCACACGACACTGTCGGCAGCAAACTGATTTTCATACACACCTTTTCGCAAAAAAGGCACCGAAGTACAGAATAAACATGATTATTTAATCATGTACTTGTTCGCCCTTTCGATGATTCATGCTTTACTTGGCAGTTTGATTTCAGTTTGTTTATTGTTGACATTTTTTATAGAAAGTGCCTTTTCGCATGGCAATATTTCCAAAGGCAAACTTAACGTTCCAACTTAGCGAAAGTCAACAACAACTAAACGAAAAACGCTCCAAACGTCGATCTTTCACCAATTTAATTTTAAATTTAGATCCATTTATATTTGTCTGAATTTCAACCAGTTGCAGTGATTAATGCACAACGCCAAAACTAAAATTAATAATAATTAAATAAAGGTTCCAACAAAGTGGTAAAATTAATAGCGGCATTTAAAGTGCGGCGCAGTGACCATGCGTAGAATAAATATTTTATAGTTGCAAAAGTTAGGTGATAATCTTAATCCTTCAGGTTTTTTTTAATGAAATCCTCAATGAACATTTGGAAAATAACCTAATAATAAAAGAACCTTATAATAATGTTTGTTTTGCGGAACAAATTAGACAACATTTATCCGCACGCTTTGACGAATGTCGTTCTAAATCTAACAATATTTTTCTAGCGCTAGATTAACCATGAAGCCCCGATTCAATCAATTAAATTGGATCTACAAGTCCATCCGCGAGCATACTGTATATTAACGATTTTGCCGTCAATGTTCGATGCTTTGATTAAATTTTCCAATTATTGGAATTAGCACTAAAACAGTCGGTACTAATAAAAGATACTTCCGACCGGCAAATGGGAACAAAAAACAGGGCAAAATCAGGTTGTAATAAATAACACACGACTGCTATATTTACAATAACTGATATTTATATTTTATAAAATGCAAAACACGTATTTACAAATATTACAATAATCAGTCTAATACAAATGTGCATGCTGGCCGGAATATTATATTCATGTAATTTGGAATTCGATAGCTAGTTGATCGAAACTAAATTAAACATCTCAATTAACAAAATACTATAAATTTCAGAAAATTATAGGCGAATTATGTTTATGAATTGATGAAATCTGCGATTAGGCCATTATGTAAATGCCATAATAGGCTAGTATTTATAAATGCCTAGGCTGCAATATATAATTTACCTAGTGGTAGCAGCAATACAAAATACCTTTCTTTTATAATTAAAAGTAGAGATCGAATTAAGAAATAAATGAAACTTAACGCGAAAACGTAAGTTTTTCATTTGCTAATTGGGACCCGTCCATTATACAACACAACATATAACACAAAAGGCAAATAGAACATCATCAATTTTTTGAGTTACTTGATAAAATAACTTGAAATTAATCAAATATAGCATAAGATGGTACTATTACTTATCAGATACATTCTAAATATGTTAGCAACAATTTATATTTTTTGTAACATCTAACAATAGTTCGCTATTAATAAGATTCGAGATTAGATATGGTGTATTACTAACAGATCTTATAAATATATATGAGAATAACGTATCTTACAAAGAGGTCCAGTAAGTTAACATATGAGGTAATACGAAAATAAGTTGATTGAACTATTTAGCTTTTGACTTAAACATTTCACTGTTCAAGAATAATTTTAAAGTCACAGCCCTTGGAAGATAAAAATGGTGAATAAAGCAAACCAAAGTCAGAAAATCAAACTTAAAAGCTGTAAAAATGGCTATCAATTACCTTTAACAGTTTTTTAAAAACTTACTTGAGACTTTGAGGCTTCAGGTTTTATTGAATAACAGAGAAAAGCTCAATCACCGGTAATTTATTTTAAAAAAACATTACAAATTATTAACGAACCCCTTAAGGCAAGTTTAAAGATCCCCTAATCGAAACTAGATATATTCTAAATAAACTCAACGTGAAGGTTAAATTTGTTATTGCTTTAATTATAATATATAGACTATGGAAAAGAGCAGCATCATATAACAGGCAAGTAAGGTCTAAATTTTTTGTTATAGTAATTATATATATGTGAGCATCATTTGCTAAAGGTACCAAATTATATAAAATATGTTAAAATGTTCATTATTTTGGAAAAAAATGAATTTCAGTCGTAAAAATAAATACTTACATTAGTCTTCAGTCAAAACAAAAGTACATAATTGTTACTGAGATTCAAGAAATGTCAGTAAAATTGAGCTTAATGAGATTCCCAGAATATTTCTAAATTAAAAATTAAATATTCTCAAAACACGTCACTTATTCCGAATGAGTTTCAGCTCGCTCTTTTTAGTACCATACATGGAAAACAATCACAGTACAAACATGCATATTTTCCTAATATAATTTGTTGCATTTCAGTTGTTTAAAATTCCAAATAAATTCGACATTACTTTGTGAAACTTAATTATAAATTCGTTCAGTTCTTTAGAAACTATATTTTCTTAAGTATCGGCAGTGATATTCTAATCTATCACATAGAGATGTATCTGTTAATTTGAAAAAATCATGAAAACCAAATGGTATTAACTGTTTGGAAAGAGAAACTTAATATTTTGGACAATGTATATAACGTTCAAAATTATTGTCACATATTAACCAACAACTTTTTAAGGCATTTGAATAAATATTCCCGTTCGATAAACTTAAATTGAATGCTACACCAATTTCACGTTTCTGTACTTCACGACCTTGCTAATCCAAACTAATTGCAAATGAACAATACGGAAACATTAATATTATGATAGAAAACAAGCATTTCATAAATGCTGAGTTTAACCAGTAACAATGACTTGAGGATTAAACTTAAACAGTTTTTTAAGAAATAATTCAAAATCACTTTTAGCTACTAATAATTTTGGGATTAGCGAGGTTTTATAGCTTGTAATTATATTGATGAACTTATGTTGATCAATATACATACACACTAGAAATTTCCTGGTTGAGATTCCATTTAATACATCTCCATTATCACAAATAATTTTTGATTAAAATTTTTAGTATTTAAAGAGCAACAACGGTACGCTTCGATTTTCCAACTTAAGGAAAATTTATGATTTAAATGTTCACTCTACGAATATTCCTTCGGAAGTTTATTATCCAAAATGAACTAGAAATAATTTGCAACAAATTATTATAATCAAATTCATTTTCGTATTTTTATTAATCATAAGTCGGAGTTTGGAGCAATCGTTAAAGTTACAGATAAACCTGATTCCTTAATTAAATTCACAATATCTCCATGACTCAAATGCATTATATCTATGTGATTAACTGCGACAATATAATCGCCAACACGTAGTCTTCCACATCGCTCTGCGGGACTGTCTTCTATTAAACGACCTTTAATTTAAAAATAAGCGTAACTAAATTGTGAGGAAATCATGATAGGAAATGAAATGGTCTATTGACCTGCTGGCTGTAGAGTAAACATATTGTATTAGCTCTGAAACGAGTTGAAACTAGAACAGAATCAAAACTTACCTATAGTTGAGCCTATTTTGTTGACGGAAGATATGATAACGAAACCAAAACCTTCGTTCTCAGTTCGCTGTACAGTCACATCGTATGTTGGTCCAGAATGAGGATTAGCAAGTACTAAAGGTACTGCATGGTTTGTAGCTACGGCAGGGGAAGTATTCTCAACGGGCCAATTCATTGGAGGATAGTTAACTAGACCTTGCGGACCCGGCGGAGGAAAAACTCTCCTCCGCAGAATCAAGCTGACTTGCCCTCTGGCAGCAGCCGTATTTATTAATTGGACTACTTGGCGATGTTCGGCTTTCAATACCGAGAAACCTTCCACACTTACGATTTCATCTCCCGTTTGCATACGACCATCCAGATCAGCTGCGCCTCCAGGCACTATCTGCCCCACTGCCACCTGCGAAGCCGATGGATTTATACCAAATATTAAACTAGCAATAAAAAGTCTCACCTGAGATTTATCTTCGATACCGCCAACTATTCGAAACCCAAAACCGGTTTCAAGTCGATTCAAAATAATATGCATTGTCAAATAGTCATGCCGAGAATTCTGCTGATACCACCAATGATTGGTGAGTTTCTTGCCATTATTTGGATTATCAAAGTTATTTGCATCTAATATGTTCGGCCTCGGACTAGCACAGAATGCACATGCACAGTCATATCGATGTGGTGGTGGCATATACAGGCTGAATTTTGGATCAACTGGTGGTGGGTATTCGTAAGATGGTTTCGATGGATTATTCTCTGAAATGTCGATATCTAAATCGTCATCCTCGTGGTTATCAATGATGGAAGAGCGTAATCTTGAGCGGTCAACTGCAAAGCCATCGTTTTGGAAATCTCTGCGAATATCATTGGAATTTGAATTTGCGTCTTTCACTGGGGTTTTAGTGAGACTTCTAGTGTCTACAAGTGGAGTCTTAGGCCTACTAGGAAGTATCTCTCTAGGTTGAGTACTATAAATATCAGCTGTGGGGGTTTTGCTTCGATAGGCGTTAGCAACATCTTTTGTACCGTATTTAGGATCTAACTTTCGGGTCTTATTTCGAATATTTGATGATTTATTAGGGCAACCTCGTTGGACGCAAATTGTTGCTTCACTATTATACGGACAATTCTTCAACACTTGCACCACATCGTCGTGTGACATGCTTTGTAAAGAAATATCGTTAATATCCAGCAGTATGTCTCCTTCCATAAGGTTTTTACATCTTTGGCGATCCAGAATTTTCTTTACTCTTTGTCCACAGGCACTATCAGCAATTGTAAATCCGAAGCCCAAATTTCCCTTTACGATTCGCACGCGCACTTCCACTCTGCCCAGTGTCATTGTGTTCATTCCTTTCAACAAGTCATCAATATCATCAGGAGCATCAATATTATCTTCACCTCTGGATATATTATCCTCTCCCTCTAGGAAGTTGTAATTTGTATCTAAAATTCTCTTGTCATTTGACACTGGTTGCAGGTGAGCATCAACAGCAATAGTGGTAACTACTTCTGTATTTGGGTCATTTGGATCAAAGGGTAAAGGATACCCTCTACACACCTCAAGTTGCACTGTGGATCCGACACTAATTGACTGAAATAATCTTACAATTTGATTATGCGTGTAACCCAATACACACGTATCATTAACAAAGACTATGACGTCGCCTGTTTGAAGCTGCCCATCCAACCATGCAGGTCCTTTTGGTACAACCGATTTGATTTGCAGGAATTCATCCACTGTGTCATCTCCTCCAACTATTGTGAAACCTAATCCTCTTGACGACTTTACTAACGATGTTCTTAACCTTTGACCACACAACTCAGAAGGGTCTTTAGTGAAATAAGTCCTGCTAACTCTGGGAGACACTTGAGATGCAGCTCTTTTAGCTTGTATAACTGGGTTTTCATATTGCGTTCGTCTATTCACATGATCAATAAAATATGTCCCATAATGAGGATCACTAATTTTCTCCCAGCCGTATGGCAGTTCATCATCCATGCAATCTTCCAGAGTTTTTTTCTGGAATTTCGACAGTCTGGGGTCAAGCCAATGGGATGTACCTGTTGAGTGACTGAAACAAGGAAATATCCCAATGGTAACGGCGGCCAGACTTCTTCAGAAGTTAAAGGCAAACTTTTAGAAAATTGATAAATTTCGTTGCTTATATAACACTGGATTGTCGAACGGAGTCAATTTGATTCATTTGCAATTTTTTTTCCTATATACTGAAGCATTTTCCTATATATATATATAGCGAATTGAAATTTTGAGTGATTGAAGACTGTATTGAAGATAGCGAAAGTTCATAAAAATTGCCCCAAAAACCTGATTTTTCTCAGCTTAGTAAATATCGGTCTCAAAATCAATGTTTGACTCTATTTGACTCCCTCCTTTAAAAATTCGCATTTACCAAACTAAAACAAGTAGTGAATTGAAATTTTCAGCATATTTTTAAAACAGTTGACTCTCAAGATGCTGAAAGTTTCACAAATATTGCCCCGAATCTTAATTTTTGTCAGCTATGTAAATATCGATCTTAAAATGGATGTTTTACTCAACTGTGCTCCCTCCTTTCATAAACTAGAGCAAGCAGCCTTTTAAAATTTTTGCCATCTTTAGGAGACATTTTGGCTCTAAAAATGCTGAAAATTTCATAAAAATCGCCCTGAATCCTGAGTTTTGCCAGTATCGGTAAAATTGAAAGGTTCTCCAATTGCATTAATAATATGAATTTAATAATGTATGCAAACGCACATAAATATGACAGAAACTAGAACTCGCCTTAAATTACTTAAAAAAAAAGGAATTGGCTAAATTTGAAAGCAACACAAAAAGAAAATGATTATATGGAAATACAGTAGCATTCATTAAAATGGGAATTAAGAAATAAACACTATTCGTAAATGTAATTAAATATTTGCTGCACAATAAAATACCAACGCTCGTTTGCGCTTCGCTCTCGAGGCATTATTGCCCTTTAAAAATGCAGGAAGAAGATAATTAAAATATATCCCCCTACTAACAGAAATATGCGGATTGTTCAGGCGGAAGAGGCTTATTTTTGGTTTTTGCCGATCTACATTTAGAATAGCTTCCCTTTAAAATTCTAACACCCCCTATGTAATATGATATCTCAGGTCATCATAACTGAAAATTAAAAGTATCGAGTTTCAACTTTCACATACGAATTTCCCACACTGCTTATCAGTTTATTCAATAAGAAGCAAACAGTTATGATCATTATAAAGCTGCTAATTTCTTCTCCGTAATTTCACAAGTCGAAATGCGTTCTATACACTCGAAAGGCCATTTTATATTAGCCGTAATAACGTTTAATAAATAGCTGTTCTCGACTGTTCTATAATTTAATATATTATTTGGTAATGTTAAAACTTATCTCTGAAATTGGCCATTAAAACGAATCTAGCTTTAGACTGTTGTATTATGATTCGAATAAATTATGAAATCAGAACTGTTTTGACTTGAAATAATAAATTCTACCAGCTGCAACTAGGCCAATAAATATTTAATATTTCACTATTAATGTAAATCTATTACATCATTTTCTATAAATTAGAAGCGATTACTCAATTGAAGATTTTTCCTTGTTGAGGTATTTCAGAGATTCATTTATTTTACTCTGTTTAATTTGTAGTATCTGAAACTGTAAATGGAAATGGAATCATTTTTTAATCATTTCCTTTGTTCAAGTCTAAGATGCACAGATTTAAATTGAGCTTGATAAATGTAGGATCAGTAAAGCGAAGCTTATCATTGGAGTCTGGACGTCTGTAGATTAGTTAAAAATGATGGCAACTTGAGCGTGGTTTGTATTGCTTACAAAATATTAAAAATGTCCACTTAGTTGGCCTCGTTAAAAAGTAATTTGGAAAATGGACATTCCTTAAGTTTCAATTAGGCTCAATGACAGTGTTTATTTTCCCCGTATAATTACTTACTAACTGTGAAATACTTTTAGGCCTAATCACTGTTTATACTTTATACTAATAGACGCAAGTGACAATTTCAGTTTTAAATCCCACTAAGGCCATTAAGAGCAAAATATAAAACCAGCAACACCTTCAAATAAAGCAATATAGTCTAATTGGCATGATTATTTATGAAGGGATTGTTTATCATGTTATTAGTTATCACTGTTTTGTTGGACGGCGCTTTGCTTTGCCGTCGGCTCGGATCAAAATAAAGCTATCGCAAATATAAATAAAACTTAATCACAACAACATGTAAATAAGATTGTCAAACATATTTTTTGTGATTTTGATACTGCTGAATAGTTTATACTACACATGTGATGCTTGAAAAAAATTGGTTTAAAAACATGATTTAATATTTGGGGTTTTAGGTCGTCGTGGAATCGAATTTCTACCTGACGTTTCGCAAGCACGAGTGACTTGCATCTTCAGAGGTGGTATGCTTTGCGTTTCCACGACAGCCAAAAATCACGAAAATTGACGTGTTTCAAGCCAGAAAAAAGTAATTCTTTTGATAACCATGTATGTTCATTATCAAGATGGGTGGATAATTTCAATTGTATATCGTGTTTACTTCATTGTATTCTAATGTTGATTATCAGGCAGGAAAGTATGTACCAAAACGATTCTATTTCTAAAAACAAACTAGTCCTAAGGCTTTATGGTTTATAAAATGCAGGGAAAAACAATTTTGGAAAGTGCTTCTAGGTATTTGGGTTGCTTGTACAAAACTGCTTCAACGGCTTTTCAACGTGTTTTAAGTTGCCAAAGTGGGTAGTGATTTTTCGTAAAGTTCACCAGTGAAAAGAATATAAAAATGTGACTTACTCAATGAAGTAAGCTTCTCCACTCTCCGTGAATGCTTTCTCCCATTTTGGAGGTAAAGGACCTAAAGAATCATTCTCGTGTGTCTCATTTGCATGATTAAAACTGTCTTTTTCCTCCTCATAGTAATTAGTGTCGTCTGGATGCACGTTTGGATCTTCTGTTTCTACTCTCAGTGGTTGAGATAAAGGATTTGAATGGTTTGAATCACTTGTGTGACTCATTCTGGATATTTCATTCTTTGTGTTTTCACTCACAATATTCTACTCGGTTTTACTGATCACGTTCTTACTGTTTAATCTTGGGGCAGTCATTTGAAGTGCAGGTGAAACATTCACAACCACCATCCACATCAACCCCTAATTCCAAGTGGGTGGTTTTGTTTATCAACGTTTTGTGAGGGTTGTACTTATTAACAGACTATCATGACTTCAATTCTAAGAGACCGTCGCGTCTAGTTTATCTTCAACGCGTTTTTAATAGACAAAACAGTCTAATTTATCATTTGAACTCACGGTTACAAAACGGCACTGTTGTAAGGTGGTAAACCTTAGACATAAACTTCAAAACTTCTCGTTCCGATTTTCACAGAAACGTCAAGCTTTACAGTGTCGTTTGTCTGCAACCGGACGAGTGTAAACAATTCCACATTCTATAAATACGACCCGGTAATGAATGCGCCTGAATTCCAAAGCGGCATCTGCCGAGTTGATTTTTAACCACTTGAGACAGGAACAATCGTAAATTTTTAAATTTTATTATTGGAGCGTTGGAGGACAAGTTAAAATACTTCAAGTATTTTTTTTCATACAAGCCTCCTCTTATCGGCCTCAAACAGCATCAATTATCCATCATTCATAAGTAATTGTTTTTATTATATTGTATACCAGGTTAAATTACCATCCAAATCAACTCTTTTCTGGTTTTATTTATCCCTGACCATCAGCGAAATTTGCTATTTGCAATAAATGGTCACAATTTGATACTTTATTAATTCATTTGATGTCCATGTAGCCAAAAAAAACCAAACTTTCAAATCAATAAGTGGCAAAACCACTTATTTATGCACGTAAATGAGATTTCCCGGTGCTATTTACTGCTAAATCGTGTTTTAGGAATCAACAGTTTATAAATCCACATGCAAATTTGTTGTTAAGATGCATAATAATTGTGTTGTTCGCAAAAGTTTGAACATCTTTACTAACGTCGCCAATTGGATGAGGTTATGTAGCGCGTTGTTTCTCAGACGGCGGTTTATTTATTTGTCTTTTTCGGACTCTCTAAACACATTTGCGGAGTTGCCACGTATTTTTGCGTTGTTTTCCTTTGGGTTAATTTTGAGTTAGTTTGCTTTTGTTGGCATAGTTCAAGTGACTTCTTTGATGAATAAAAAAAACACAAGAAGTAAAAATTAGTAATCTAAAAAGACTTAACTAATCCAAACCAACCCAAATTGGACGAGTCTACATGCGGGGTATCCAAAAAAACAATTTTCATTAACTTGAAACGTTTTACGCAGTGTGGCAACACCGCTCAAAATTAGCCTCAAAATGGTGATTTTCCTCAAACTTTGTGATTTGTTTCGCTGAAACCGCTTATTTTAAAATGTTCCTTAAAGTAAAACCAAGAGGAAATTAAAAATGGACAGGACAAGCGGTGGCGGAGGGACAAACGACAAGATCACCAAAATTGATGTTGGTAATAGGGACAACACTAAAAAAATGTGCCAGAACTGTCACAATTTCATCTTCCTCCTTTGAGGTTCTGTGTTCTGTGGCTTGTAAGCGGGTTAAAATGACAGTAGGTATTTTTGAATTCCTCAAGAGTTTAGCCAAAGTTGCCTGCAATAGTTGAACTATACGTGCAAATGGGTATGTGAAGCATTTTGCAATCATTGAAGATCTAGAAGATAGTATATGCAGGTGGAGCAGTGGTATAGATGATCGTTCTAGGTGGTAAAGTACATAGCTAGCTTTGAACAGTTGAAATATGCTTATCGTGAAAAGTCAAGATAGTTTGGTGGAAAGAAATAACGCGTTGAACACGATGGTTAATACTGAAACACCTGAAGACATGAGGAACACTGATTCCAAGGATATATTCCAATATCAACTGCCAAGAATGAGAGCTTCGTATACCCTGACAGTAGCTCCAGATAGTACGACTGCAGACTTACCTGAGCCAGCTAATTCTTCGATGGACGCTAAAGTTTTATGTAACAGTGAATCAAAACGACTTGAGAACGCCTCACTAGCAGAATATGAGCCTCATTTATCTGAAGGGGATCCTCTGAAATATTACAAACCCACCATACCTGCACAGCCCACAGTAATTAGCACTGTTCCAAAATCTCCAAAACCGATTATGGCGAATAAATCGACTACTGCAGCAAGTGATGATAAAGATTTTGAGATTCCTTTGGAAGAGTCTTTAAGAGCAGTAGAAGATTTTATCAGGAAGGAAAAAGAATTATCAAAGTGGCAGGTTGGAGAAGATGTTTTAGCTAAATGGAAAGGCAATGGACGGTACTATAAAGCTAAAATCTTGGAAATTATTCCCACAGGAACGGTAAGCTATAAACCGCGAACAATGGCGATTTCCGAATATTCATGAAATTTGAACATTCTAGGTTGTTGTCGTCTTTGAATCATATGAGGTAACTGATGAGTTAGACTACAAAGATTTGTGCAAGTATTTTAACAAAACTAATACGTTTAAAAAGAAGGGATGTCCGCAAGTCGGAGTGAAAACGGTTGCTACGAATGTAGATGTCATTTCTGTTAAGAAGCGAGCAAAAGTGCTCAAACAAAAAATATCACAACCCAAAAGACTGCCATATTTCTCAGTTTTCCGAAAATCAAACATGACAAAAAAGAAACTAATGTATTTTAAGAGAAAAATCCAAATCTTAAGGAAGTTAAAATCAAAACGTCGAGCCGCTATTAAAAATAATTCCTAAAATATTACAGATTTTTACCGAAGTGTCTATCTACATGTGATCTGCATGAAAGGTATAATTAGTTGCAAATTTTACCCTTTTTGCACTACTCATGTGGACAGGTATATAGATATTGGTTTTGGGATATTGATCAATGTGTGTATGTTCATGTATTAAGTATATGCCTTTTCTATAGAGCATTTCTAGAATATTTTTCTAAATAAATTGTCAGACCAAATAAATACTAATATGTTCAAATATTTAAAAGTACTAATTCAACATACAACATCTTTACATGATGGCCTTTATAAGGTGATTACTAACTTTATTGGCGTGGTTTTGATGACTTCATCAAAATCTCTTCTCTCTAAATTTATCCGATCAAGCACTTAATTCCAATAGTTTCGCAAAAATCGGCCCATTTAAACCATTTTTCTGAAGTGATGCATATAAGTTCGCCAAATATTTTTTATCTATTTACATTGCAGCCATATTAGGAAACGGTTTAGTTAGAATTACTTAAAATTAATGGCTACAGCGTAAGTAGACGTACTGTATTAGAAAACCGTTAGTACACATAATCGATCCAATCAGTGGTGTTTCGTTAAACATTTTGCACATTAGAAATCAATCAATACTAAAATCATCTGGGGGATGATGCTATGCGTAATATCAGGAGCGTAAGCTATCACTATTAAAAATATACATTTCCTAGTCAAGTCAGAGCTATGAGAGTGATGTAAGTTTATCAGAAGATTTATGTTTTTGACACTATTTTTTTCAGAGAAGAAAAGCTCTGTTGCTTCTTAATATTACATAACAAGTTGTGTTTGTGCAAAGTTTATACAATTATATCGTTCATTACTATACGTGATTGATACCACGCTTTATTTCTGGTGTCAGTCTGATCTTAAAACAGACTTAAGTTGAAATTAAAATCTATTGGATTGATTGAATGCATTGAGAACAAATTCGAGTGTTTCATTAGGTTGTTGCTAAAATCTGAAATTAAAGGGTTTTGTGTCGTTTTCGTACATTATTAGCAATTTTTGCAGCTACTTTTACCGCCTGCCACAATCCCAACTTTTAACTAGCTTCATTTTATTTTATTTTTTGGTTGTCATTTCTAATCTGATAAGTTATGTGTACTAACGATTTTCTGTGTACTAATTTTGTGGTTCGCGTAGTAAGTCAATGAGAATATTAGAATAAATGGCTGTAATCAATCTCATTTAGTTAATTTAGCGTACTTTTCAAGAAAATAAATATTGATTTTTATTATAAAAAAAGAACTTTGAATATTCAAAGTTACACCACCAGTTCCAATTGACTGCCAAATGGAAATCAATGCTAGACGTAGGAAAATGTTTGTTTAATTTTAATTTTTCTCTGTCTCGGTCGGTGCAATTTCTTAAGGTAAAGTAAAATACTTTATTCAAACAATACATAATTGGAGTAAAACTTTCTTTAGTAGTGTGGGTTATTGGTTGTATAACTCATGTAAAGTTTTCTGATTTTCGATTTAAAACGCATTTGATTTCAATATACTTTAAGGAAATGTGCATGTATTTTTTTAACTTACTTAACAGCGTTGTAAATATGTAATATCAATTAACACGTTCTCTTCGAACTGACGGATCTCAAAGCAATTACATTCTAGTAAAGGGTTTGGAGTAACTATGCATTTAAACGGGCGCCCTAATAATTTCCCCATAAACAGCTTAACATTAGTAATAACGGTCATTGAACGTGTTAATCGATTCGTAAGAATTGGTATAAATCAATTAATGTCTTGAATCATGATGCACTTGTTATATAATTTTTGTTAGAAAGTGTTTGTTATGCATTTGTATGTTTAATATGTTATGAGACTGATTCGCGTAGCATAAATGTTTCCTTTTTCTTCGAGCAAGATATCAGCATAACTAATAACTTGTAACAAAAGATATACATATTTTTTTGCGAAAAATGTTGAAATTTGTTGTAGTCTTAGCAGTTGCGATATCGATTACTAATTGTAAAAAACCATTCATGAATCTGTCGGGCTTTTGGAGTGACTTAACCAAGTCATATCATCTTAGTTTTGAACTAATTGTGAGAAATGCAGAAAAATGTCTCATAGTTCTGGTGGTTAAACGTTTGCTAGTTCTGGCATAATTTTACAAGCGTTTTGTTTTGTGTCGCAGTTTCTTTGTTGTTTTTGTTTAACATTTGTAACGTCTAACTAAGAACAATAATTTGGTCAAATTTGAGTGTGAAGCTATTTGTCGGCTGGCAAGAAAAATGTATTACCTCGACGGCGTTTCGGCAGTTCAGTTGCAGTTCGTGGAAACTGGAAACGTTTTGCATATAAACGTATTATTTAGAAATAATCTATTGTAAAAACCTACATCATCTTGAAGAACAAAGTGCTCAAAGACTTTTTATGTATCAGAACATTTTTGTTTGACTTCCTGTTAAAACACTAAGTAGTTAAGTGACATTCGCCCCAATATGATTTGCCAATTAATATTGTTGTTGCGGTTTAATACATTTAGTTGAATGCCAATAATTCAATTAATGGTTATTGAATGTCTATTAATACTCATTTGGGGTGTTTAAAGACTGAAAACACATTTGGAAATTCTATTAAGGTACTAGTTCATTTTTTATACTTATCACCCCTTATATTTATGCAAAATAGGTAGGAATATTTGTAAGTGTAATGTGCCATACATTTTTCGCTCATTGCTTTCCATGTTGATACATACTCATCTGAAATGCAAGCTCAATTTTATCTGCTAATACCTTTATAATAGTCTATTTTTCTCCTTTAAATATTCCGATGAGCATGTATCCTATCCAATGAATCAAACACTTGTTAGAATAAAGATATGGAATCTAATAATTGTTGTTTTATTTAACAAACACATAAATAATACATACATTGTTTAGTGTAACATCATTTAATAAAAATAAGAATATAAAACGTTAAATATTTTAAACAACATATTTACAGCTTTATACAGATTCATTTCAATTCCTCTTCCGATTACGAATCTGAAATAACAAATGCAGTGAAAAACTTGTTAATGCATTTTTAGTTAAAAATATTAATACTCCCTAAAATTCATGAAGGTATAATTATAACACATGTCCTGGCTTGCGTATGATTTGACAGAGCCTGGACTATAAGGAAACTTGCCTTGGTTTAATCCATATTTAACACTTTTATAAATTTGTTCAAGTTGCGGCTGCACATTGCCTAAAAGAGGCCGTTCGGAAGGTTCAGCCGACCAACATTGCTCCATGAGATTCCAACAAGCCTCATTAAAGTGAGTTAAGCATTCTGGCCTAATACCTAAAAAACTTAATTGCAGTATGCTTCCAATGTATTTCTTTTGATCAACGAACCTTTTCTAACACTGTTCCATAGTTGTTCTTTATTTTGAAACTGATCAAACTGAGAAGGAAGTTTCACTTGTCCGGCACAAATATACCAGAACAGTATCCCAAAGGCATAAACATCTACACTAGAATCGTATCGACCACTTAAGAGTTCCGGTGCCATGTGAACTGGAGTACCTACAATACTTCCCGACATCATAGCTTCTGGTATACAGAATCCAAAATCAGTCAGTTTAGCTCTATCTTCATCATCCAACTGGGGAAAACAGGATTATTCACATTACTAAATGATCAACCAGTTCTAGTTATTTTGTCCCTTACCAAGACATTTTTCAGCTTTATATCTCTATGCACCAAGCCTTGAGAGTGCAAATATCGTATGCCTTCAATCACATCGATCGCTATTCGAAGACGCTTCAACCAAGTTAAGCCGGACTTCAGACCACAATACAAATCTTTAGTCATTCTATTCATTAGAAGAAGAACTGCCGGTGAACTACCACCACCATATTTGTAATCTATCACCGAACCTCGTAACTTGACAATCCTGGGATGTTCTGGTATCGTTCTAGTTAAAACAAAACATCAATTTTTTTTATGCATATTAACACACTGGGCATATAAATCAAGTTACGTAACTACTTGCCAATGGTTATTTTTCACTCAAAAAATATGTCACGATTATTTCCATGTTCAACTGCAGGGATATATTTCAGTCAATAGCTACCTGGTGTAGTAAAATTCCATCGCTAGGTCATTCCAGTGTTTATCGTCGGGTGGTACGACAGATTTGAACGCACAAGGGCTGATTTTACCCCAAGGTTCGCACGATGACACCACTCCATACTGGCCTCTACCAATTTCCCGAATTTGTTTAGGCATTCCCCATTTTATCAAGTCGCACAATGACGTGCTTTCTAAGGCCAATCGCGCAAATCTAGGAGCATGTTTTTTCCTTATTGCAATCCTCTGCTCTTCGGTCTGCTCTAATTGATCGGAAAGTTGATTTTCCAGACTTCGCATTGCACATTGGAAAGCAGCATGAGATGACTTTACATGCTCTTGGAACTACAATGTAAAATAAAATTGTCCTATCTAATAACGGTAACAAAAGTAAACTTTTACTGACCTGGGCAGAAATGGTTTTTGCCAATTTCGAGGCACTCAAAGAGTCGATCATATTAGTAACCACTTGAAGCTGCCACTGTAACGTGCAATTAAATTGTCCTGTAGACGACCAAGGCGATGAGAAGCTACCCAACAATTTCCGTAGTCGGTCCATAAATGTATGGACTATTGAAAATGATGTTGGGGTTTTCAGATCAATGTTGTACGCTGCGTGGATAATCTGTTTCACCGCATCAGATGCGGATAAATTTCCCTCTAACTCACGACAGCTTTTTTCCAGATTTTCCAAGCATCTTTCAAGAGTACCAGTGAAACTCTCCTGTAAACAACCTACTGATTGAACTATTTGAATGGCCACAGAAGCTGCCAGTGTCTTTAGAACCAGCTGCTGGATTTCCATAGTTGCAACCTTGGGGGAAACTGCAAAAAAATTACATAAACCTCGAAAGCAGTGGTAAATTGATAATCTACCTAATCTTACCGAGAGCTGAAGAGTTGTATCCTTCTAGGACTTCGGCAACATTAGATTTCATGTCTTGCAATGTTCTTTGTATTATTGATGTAATTTCTTCCTGTTGTTCGCTAGCAATTGTCATGAGGCTTGTGAACATTTTCATTTCCACATCCTGAGCATAGAGAATTCGTTTTGGTGTTATCTGAATCTCACGGGCCATATCAAATGCGCACAGTATAAACTTCCGTAGGCATGAATTGTGAAGCTACAATAAATGTAATATGATGACGATGGCAGCAAAAAGCAATTTTCTTGGAAAATATTCTACCTCACTTAAGGACAGGGCCATTTTAAGTTTGCTCGACCTCAGTATTTCTCTAATAAACAAAATAAAGTCCTCATTAATCGTTTTGTCACTCATTAAAGCATTATCTAAAGAGCATTCCAAACAAAAAGGCTTTTTCCTTAATAATTCGTCTGTTTGCTCGGAAGTTACACTCAGATCAGAATCAGAATCATTGCTTATATATCCTTAAATAAAATAAGAAAATAGTAGCAACGTATAAAACATTCCCAAATATACCTACCCAATCTAGTCAATTGCTCTTTCAGACTATGTAACTGGTTGACATTTTCTTCGCCATTGCTTTCCAGTGAATGTTTCTTTGGCTCGGTTAATGATTCAGTATTTAGAGCAGGTAATTCAATTTTATTTACGCTTACAAACAAAAATGGGACAAGATATATATCTTTTAACTTTCTAATTTCTTGTATGTTCTGCAACGGAATGGGGATATATCACTTCATATACATATAATTCAAAAAGGAAGACAAACTTACAAAATCACTAAGAGTATCTTCAGATAAAGCATATATTATCACAGGTAAAACCTTTTCCCCTATTCTCTCCAACACTTCAACTAACTGATCTCGATGGCAATCAGGGGGTACTATAATTTTCACATTTTCTTTTAATAGTTTGTGTTTCAGCATTACTTCAATAGAAGGACAGTGATCCAGTAAGTTTTCTTTGTCATTTCTTTGTATGTCTTCTTCTGGGATTGTTTCCCAGTTTGGTTCTTCATGAACATTCAAATTTTCGACAATTTCGATTTCCTCTCCGAGCATTAAATGAACACTTTTTGCTTGGCCATATTTGAAAGTAATCTGGAAGGTTTTTAGTTCCTATTTACATTTCAACACTAAATTAATAAGTAATTGTTGTATAATATAATATAATAAGTAATTGTTGTATAACATAAGCTAAAAATGCTTGCTTTTACTAGGTGAAAGGCACAAAATTAATTGTTTGAAGATAGGCATTTTCCAGACGTCCCGAAAAAGCAAGATATCTTCTAGGTTTTCCCAAAAACTCATCAGAGGAAAGAGCACTTACATGTCTCCATTGACTACTGAAATACGGAAGAATTTTCTGTTGAAGTAACATGTTAACAAGTACGGCTTTAGCATGGCAGGATTGTCCAAAAATAATAAGGTTTGGAGTTCTTTCCACCTTTTGGGAAAGTGCTTCCAATTCATCATAGATTGATAGTTCTCTCTTGATATCAGCTAGGAGAAAATGTGGATTATGTTTGGGTGTTGTTAGAATACGTGCGCTACTTACTTCCTAATTGTAGCAGATTATTGATATCGTTTAATGAACTATTTGTTTCTCTTAAGATTCTTTTTAAGATTTGACAGTGTTTGAGATAATATTTAATTTCTTTCGACACTTCTGACAACATTTTTCCATTAACTATTTAAGGAATACTTTCATGATACGAATTATCTCTATTAAATATGTTCAGCGAAACTGTGAATCCCCAAGTTTCAAAATTACTCATCCAGTTTTTACAGTCCACCGGGAATCTACAACAACAAAAAATTGTCGTTCTTTTTTCTGTAAAGACTGGTGTTGGCAGGTAAATGTTAATTTCTATGTAATATCGCTGAGTGTTCGGTATTCCTTTTCAGGAACGTTTCTTGCAATTTTCGGCAACTTTTCACAAAGCAAACCCAGTCACTCAGCTGATGAAGACAAATTATTAACGTCTGTTATTAATAAATGAAATCATCTTTTGTTTTGATTCACATATGACACTTGACATGCCGATTGTCAGCTACAGCGCGCTGTTATCGCGTCTCTCAGTTGATTTATTATGTGCTATTATGTTATGCTCAGGCGCTTGCCAGGTCTACCGTTTTTACGGTAGGTCTACCGTTTTCATGAGAGTGAAACGTTAATTTCACTTTATAAACTTAATTATTACTATTGTATAATACATTATTTGTGAACAAATTAGCTCCATTGGACTGTAATTGGCGATTGGACTACCTTTTTTTTGTTTCTTGTTTCCTAAATCCTGTGTCCCCTGCATCCGTTTATACGATGGTACGATAATACGAAAGTGTTTCTAGAAAGCTAGAACTTGGCAACGTCGGTACGGTTTGAACAATTTACTGTTTCGTCATACAGTGTTTCACTAATTACTAAATAACCTGCATTTTATGAATTAAGTCATTGCAGATAAAGCTAATCGTGGAAGGAGTTAATTAAATTGTATCTTCAAACTGTGACTAGCTGATTTCAATATTTTTAAAGCAAACACCCTGCATTTCGCTAGTAAAAAATAAATACATTTTCAAAGCTCTCCGTTAGCTCTGCAGCAGTTCTCATAGACCTCACTACCATCTACAGAATGTGTGGAGTTTTGCCATTAAAAGATATTCAAGGAACTAATTGATCTTTTTTTCAAGAAATATGATAAAAGAGGGTTTTCGAAAGGCATTCAAACTTCCCGGATTATTTTATGTAGCCAATGTAGAGGACGCTGCATTTGGGGAGATCGTTATAACAATGGCAGCGTCATGGGAAATTTCCTTGCTACAGTGACGAAATTTATACCCTCTTTCCAGGCCTGATTGTTCAGTTTAACCAGCCAGATCTAATCGGAGCTTGAATATTACCCAAATTAATAACATTAAACGTTCTGCCAGAATGCTGCAAAGGATTGGTTTGATTTAATATTTAATAAATTAATTCACAGTCTTGGCCGACTTCATGTTCCGCTAATGGCCCTCTAGTAAATTCGCGAAAAATCTAGAGCATTCTCGTCGATATAACCTTCAAATATAAGCTCCTTGCGTCGCGCGTCAATGGGAGTGTATCACAGACGTTTCGCTATACGAGTTTGTGGAAGAGTGTGCTACGAAGAAACTGTGAATTTCAGTTGTTTGAAAGTGTTTTAGTGTACATCACGAAGAGTTAATAATCCGTAATTTTGCCAAAAATGGGTAAAGATTACTACAAAATATTGGGAATTGTGAAAGGTGCGAGTGATGATGACATCAAAAAAGCCTACAGGAAATTAGCTTTGAAGTACCATCCAGATAAAAATAAGGCACCCAGTGCTGAGGAGAAGTTCAAGGAAGTTGCGGAGGCCTACGAAGTGCTCTCCGACAAGAAAAAGCGCGATATCTACGACCAATATGGAGAAGAAGGTCTAAAAGGAGGAGCATCTGCAGGTGGTGGATCAGGGACTCCTGGGAACTTCTCATACACTTATCATGGAGATCCAAGGGCCACATTTGCTCAATTCTTCGGAAACTCAACGCCTTTCTCAACTTTCTTTGATTTTGGTGGTAATACTGGACGGATGTTCGGAATGCATGATGATGATATGGATGTGGATGACCCATTTGCTTCTCTAAGTGGAGGACCGAACAGAGGCGGCCCAGGAGGAGCGTTTAGAAGTCATTCATTTAACTTCCAAAGCCCCAATAGGAATAAAGACAAAATCCAAGATCCACCGATTGAACATGATCTTTATGTTAGTCTTGAAGACATCACCAAAGGCTGCACCAAGAAAATGAAGATCAGTAGGAAAGTATTACAGGCCGATGGTACCACCAAGAAAGAAGATAAAGTTTTAACTATCAATGTGAAGCCAGGCTGGAAAGCTGGAACCAAAATCACATTCCAACGTGAAGGTGACCAGGGAAGGAACAAGATCCCTGCCGATATTGTGTTCATTATTAGAGACAAGCCCCATCCACTCTTTAAACGAGAAGGCAGTGACATCAGATATACAGCGAAAATCTCACTCAAACAGGTAGGTTCGCATTCTTGAATTGAAATTTTTCTTGAATGCAAATTTTCAGTTTTCAGAAAATTTTGCACACAGTTTTAATAATAAAATTAGAATCTCGATATTGGTCTAAATTTAGCTGGCTTTACTTGACCTACTGTGACGCCAGCTGCTAAAAATAATATCCTCTCTATTTTAGGATTTGTATAAAAATGCTACATCTAATTTGTTGTTTTCGTTTGTTACAGGCTTTGTGCGGTTGTACCGTTGAAGTACCAACAATGTCTGCTAAAACAATTCCACTGCATTACACCACAGAAGTCATCAAACCGAATACTGTGAGACGTATACAGGGATATGGTTTGCCACTTCCCAAAGAGCCATCACGTAGAGGTGATCTAATAGTTAACTTTGATATTAAATTCCCTGATAACTTGTCGAAATCAGCGAAAGATATTTTGTACGACACTTTACCAAATTAACCAAATGCTAGTATACAAACTTAAAGGATGTTATTGTACGTTTTAGTACAGTGAATGAGAGTTGTTGACTTTTGTAAAAAATATTTGCTTTAACTTTTCTTTAGCGTTTAATTTCTAGTTGTAAGTTTTAATTTATGTTAAGAAGAAAGTTCCATATTTACTTAAATAGAATGTTTAATATTTGAGGATTTTTGTAAATATGTACGAATATGAGTTTATGTACTTTTTTTGTGTTGCAGTTGTAAAATTTGATACAAATTTTGTAAGTTATCTATTTGTGAATTCTATTACTTCTAAGAGTTCGTTTAATAAATTATTTTTTATATTCTTTTCGTTTCGTATAATTTGTACTGGTTTTGACGCACTTGCACTTTCGGATTTCAACCCATTATGCAAAATCTTTATTTAGAACGAAACAGTCGCCATTAATGGTATTTTTCGTCTTCCTCGTAAGTCGCATATGACGCTTTTCATTAACCAAACGATTATGCAAAATATAATTTATCTAAAACTTTAATGAAAGGCTTCATCATACACCTAAGACATTTGTTTATTAATTATTTAAAAGCATGTACTAAAATTAGAGCTGGTATGCATCACTTGTTAAGAATAAAATATTTTTTAAATAAACTGTTTTCAGCAGGCTCGGTAGTTTTATTTCCATTTTAAAACCAATGCCACTAGCTGGTACCATATGGGGACATTTTTATTTCAGTTGATTTATAAGGTTGCCATTCTTTGCAAAATAACCAGGCTTAATTTGAATTCAAGGTATTGTGCGGTCAGAGTATGTGTGAAGATGTAAAACAATTCATTTGAACCACCATTCTAGTGCACTTCAAGTATTAAAATCATTTAAATATGCTAATTAGACATTGGTCTCTTGAACCAGTATATAAGTTCGAAGGAATATTTTTATAATCTGATTAATCATAGAGCCCATATATAGATGCAGAGAGTTGGCGGCCGATATATTTATTTCCAAAATATGTGGACACGTAGGTATCGTGTGCCTACCTTTCTTTTTTTTATTGGTTGCCCACTTGCTTTCTAAATGGACTTATTCGTACAGTTTAAATTCAGATATGCTTTATGATAAATATACGATTGAACCCTAATAGTTTTAAGTAAACACATTTAACAACTCAAACAGCTGGTATTGGGGAAAAAACTAATACAGATTTTACAGCTGTTTGGCTGCAAATGTTAAAAATAAGTCAGCATCAATAAACCCTACACAACATACACCTTAAAGTAAATACATTGTTAAATAATGGCAACAAAAGCCAAGGTATAATTAGAAATCGCCATTGTGTTAAATAGGTCAAAGTGCAACTCGATAGGATGATTTGTGTTTTTACTTTTTCCTTTCCAGATCAGTTATTTGCGTAATTTATAAGCGGCATTTTGTTTGTCTATTTAATTGATAAGCAACAAAATTTAATTAGATTTACTGCCTGTACGAAAAACTGCAATGATGAGCTATTTAAGGAAGTCTTGGTGTACTTTTATGCCGTCGTGGCAAAACAAATTTGTCTCGATGTTTCGCAAGCACGAGTGACTTGCATCTTCAGAAGTGTGTTGGCTCAACCCAAAGCAAACCTTCGGCTTTTGCGGCTATTGGCTGAAACTGGTTAGGTTTTTAGGTTTGTAGGCTGTCGGGACAAAGAAAGTTTTCGAGCGAAACACCCCTGAAAATGTAAGCTCCAGGACGGCCAAAAAGGTCGAAAAACTCAGCAGTTTCAGTTTCTATTTTTTCTGTGTTGTTCCGTTGTACAACACAATTATGAGCGCATTTTTCAAGATATCTGGTTAAAGGTCGAAACATCCTTAGCGTTTTTAAGGTTCAGGGATTTGGCGAATTTCAGAAAAATCAACTTGGGAATTTTAATTATTGATACCTTAACGGACCAAAAGCGCCAGTTTTCACTTTTAAGTAACGTTCTCAGTGTGGCAAAAAACGTTTGGATTACGTTCAGGTTTATTTTGAAATAAAAAAAGCCTTCGATGAAATTTCGGAAGTTGTTTTCTGAAAACCACAACAGACCGATGACCAAATCTTCAATTTACCAAACACAAATTTTCCGCCTCGAGAGTGTGCAGTAGAATTTTGTCCAGCCCGTCCCGGCCCAGCCTGTATACCGTTGTACTGTCTAGTCTGATAATCTTAAATATGTGATTGCTATTTGGATATCACTTTAGTTATTCAAATCCAGTACCCGTTCAACATGAGAGCGATGCTATTTTAAGAATTGATATATTTTTCTACTAGTAAAAAGGCAGCCTCAAAACAATATATAACAAAAATCTATTTACATTTGAAACTAAAAATATCTATTCACAGCTCTTTCGTATTTTATTTCCAAAACAAATTATACGAAAACGTCACCAGTGATCAATGGTAACACCTACTGAGAAGTATTTTCCGAAATTTAAATAAAAATAGAACATTTGCTGTGTTCTTCATTAAATCAGTCTGTTGTTCTCAGGGCAGCGGCATATTATGAAAAATCCGTAGATCGAATCACTAACAAAGTGTATTAGTTCCTTTATTTATTTAAACACATGGTCAGTGAAACTATTTTTTGGGAAAATCGTATAGTATATTAATGTGTTATAGCGAATTTACATACCAGATGACCCTGGACTAGCGCAAAGGTATTATTTTTATATTATGACTGGTTGGACCATCAATTACTGTTATATACCAGGATAAGCTTTCAATGACCAATTGAACAATTCAGCAAAAATGTCTAACGCCAAAACTGATGTAAACACCTTGATTATGAAAGTAATTTCCAACAGTGTAACAGTATCATGCGACTATAAGATCCTTGAAAATATTTACTGATATTCAGTTAATTATGAATTTTTTCCTACAACAGTAAATTGATAATTTATATGGAGAATGGTTGATTCACCATTCTATTAAAACTCCGACGGACTTCTTACTATCGATTGCTCGATATAAAATATAAGGCAATAAAAAAACGAAGTCCTTCAATTACATTTACTGCAAAAGTATTTATTCACAATTATCAGAACAAATGCTTATGACTAATATAATAGAAATACGGCCTACTATATACATACTAACTATGAAAAAAATATATAAAAATATAAAGAATAGGCCAAATTTTGACATGAATAGAAATCTCGAAATTTCATCGTAAAGAATTTAATACTGGCCACATCTCATACGAAGATACTATTTATGCATAGTTGGCAATTTATTGAATAAAAATCTTTGGAATTACTTGAAATATGTGTTCAATATGCACAATTAATACCTTTTAAAATATGTTAAAGTAAATACTATTCTCCAAGTTGCCGTGTTTTCAAGCAATTTAAAGATTTCAGAATCAACACAATAAAACAATGATAACTTGCTGACTCCTTCAGTTACAGTCTCCTTAATATTTGTCAAATGGCGGAGGTTTCTTACAATTTTTCCTGTGTAACTATTTACTTATAACTCCGACCTTTTCGAAAATTTTGTATAATTTTTTCGACATAAAACAATTTTTCTTAGGTAATTAAACGCAAAGATGGGTCACAAAAGTGTTACACAACTATAAACAATTTGAATTTTACTAACACGAATGCTCATCACAGAAACATAAAGTAAATAACAAATAAAAGTGGTAGAATAATTTTAAAGTAATTGCGAGCTTAATATACAGACGTAAAACAATCAATAATTTATCTGAGAGATAAGAACTGTTTGAGTGCTAAAATTTCAATTGCACTATTTGCATACCAGTGTTAAATTGGGTATTTATTGAAGAATTTTATATAGGCAGTGTGGAAGAATCAACCTTTGACAATCAATCGCTTACTTTTGATATCACAGTTAAATAATGTCCGACGCTATGGCGATAAAATATTATATAACCGGACATTTAAATCAACGGCTATGAATAACTGCTGTTGACTGAAAAATCTTTAACTGCATCTTGACAGGAATCACGATATTAAAATAGCTTAAGAGAAAAACATTACCTGTTTGATAGTTGTATGTAAATGAAAAGATTCAAATAAAAATTAAAAGTAAGACCGATTTTTTTTTGTAGGTTGTTGTTCTCTTAAACTTCTCTTATTAAGCAACATAAATTTAAATTTGATTTTTCAATGATCCATGACGATGATTTAGCTTTAGGGAGAAATAAAACTGGCCCCAAAATGGGTTTCAGATTTCTTAAAATTGTTGATACTATCTTACAATCTTTGTAAACTTAATTAGATTAGGGAAAACTAAGATTAAAGGTGCATTTATAAGCTCTGCGGCTCGTGCCATTCGTCCCTCGTATTTCGTTCTCTAGCTTCCAAAAGATAGCTACTGTTACTTATTATTATTATTATTATTTTACAGTAATGATGTGCAAGTCCCTAAAGACTTGATTAAAAGACGATTAAAGAGACCTTTCCAATACAGCTTTTTGATTTCGGGTTGCTTATCAAAACCATTTACTTCGAAATTTTTCCTTTGCAACGTGTTTACAAATAGTTAAATACCACTTTGTAAAAGTACATGTTTTTCGCTAAGCCACTAGCAAGCCACCAATAGGAGACATCGATTTTTTGCGTTAATCATTTGACTTGTATGTTTTACTGCCGGTATTACATTACGCACTTCTCCCCGATTTATTGTCAATAAAGTGGCCAATCATTGAAGATATGAGCGTAAAGCGTGGAATCGGGCTGCGATAGATAAATCGTTCAATTTATTGCAGACTTGCTGCAATAAATTGCAGCAAGTCTGCAATAATTGGCAGAATAAAAGATTGAGCATGCTGAAAATTATTGCGAATTGGGAAAATTTTGCTGGGAAAAAATACTGTTTGCTAACTGAAATAACGATGTTGGCAGCGATTCTCAAAGGAAAGTGACACGGAATACGGGTTTTTTATTTCTGATTTTTTTATTGTGTTTCAGATGTCGAAAATCTGTATTGTATGCATTCAGTTTAGAAAATTAGTCGCTTCTTTATTTATTTTGGTTGAATACCAATTTATTCTAAGAACAAAACAAAGTGTGAAGTCGATGAAGGCCAAGAAGGCGATCTTCAATAATTGGCCAATACATCGGGAAAAAGTGCGTAGTGTAATACCGGCATTGAAAGTTCTGCGCGGATGTTAAAACATCAGGGTGAAAAAAGTTTCGAGTGTATTCTTTTCTGAAAGTTAATTAGAAAGACCGCCTTTAGAATGGCCATCTAAACACCAAACTAGTTAATGGGCATTTATTTTTTCATACTGTCGCAGTTAACTTTGCATAGACGTTAGGTGAGTTCATTTTACGCACAGCAATAACTGCGCGCTATTAACGAGAAACCGCACAAAATGCAGGGTTTATAAAATCACCTTAATATGCTATACTCGCAACTTGTAAAGTGAAAGACTAATTGCCGAAATATTTACAAACTAAAAACTTACAGGTTGAGAAGGAGATATACTTAGATAAATAACATCAATTTATTAGTAAATTAATTTGCAGATAATTTACGAAGCCAATTAATTTAAAAATTATCGACATCGGCAGCCATAAGCCAAGTGGCTTAGCGGACCCTGTATATAATGGATTTACTGCAAAATAGTATACTAAATATTATTGTTAGAAACAACAGAAAAAAGCAACAAAATGCAATAAATACATCTCAGTAGCAAAGTTACGTTCCAATTGCAACTATACCAAATAATAATTTATTAACTCAATTCTTGAGAGTAAAACAAGGTCCTGAAAAATCTCAAAGGATAAAGCAAACACACTAAATTGTCTCCTAATTAATCTGCTGGTTACCTATAATTAAAATACCCACCCAAACTACTGAAAATTTTATGAGATAATATACAAATAATAAGAATTTAATCACTTCCAATACCTGCTAGGGTTTATAATACAAAATTAAAAGAACGCTGCATTTTTTCAGTAGTTTACCTGAGCAGACGACTTAGGTAAGGTATGTTACATTTATTTTAAATATGCCTTTTATCACAAATCAATGAATATACTCGAAGAACTGGCGCAGAGTTCCTCAGAGCCAAGTCACCAAAAAGTTCAAATTCAAAAAAAGTAAATAAAGTAAATTAAAATTCCTCAATTAATCGATTAATATAATTTCCAACCACTAGGAAATGTCTCTTGAAGTGGATGGTTGGGTTGAGTCCGGAGACCTAGGACTACTAGATCTACTTTCTTCACAAGGATCAACACTTTCAAAGGTAGTACTACGAGAACAAGTGATACAAATATAGTCTTCGTCCTCATTAATATCTCCGGCAGATAACCCGACACAGGCCATGTGAAACCACTGTTCACAACCACCATCGCACTGAACCCAGTCAACATTTTGTCCGGTTGGTCGTTGACAACCATTTGCAGCACAGTCTTCGTCTTCACTGTCACTACTATTCGAAGCAGTAGATTGACATCTCCGTCCTCTACGTTTACCCCTCTGTTTTTTCTGTGTACTGTCCTTACTCGTGCTCTGCTGCTTGCGACCCCGCATTTTCTTTTCACTATCCGCTTTAAGAGACTTTACCGGCTTTTTAGTAGAATCGATAAGTTCCTCGGATACTCTTTTCCGACCTCGTTTCTTTGGTGACGTTTTAAGATGAGCATCGAAGTCAATCAGCATGATCTCTCTTTCAGGATCTCTGCAGCCTAATATAAGTTTCCAAAGTGCAAAAGTTTCGTCTAGATACACTTCTAATAGGTCCCCTTCCATAATTAAATCTTCCATTTGCTTCTTGATTTCGGGGATAATTCGAATCACGAAGTCTTCAGCATCATGTTTAGGAAGGTGTAGACTATAGGCATGTTCGCCCATTCGGTCGTCAGAATCCCTAGATGATTCTCTAGAAGCCTCATCCGAATCATTGATTCCACTATCACATGTTACTCCATCTTCATTTACTCCGCTAAATGGGGTTATCTCTTGCACTCTCTGGAGAAGTTCAGGATTTTTGGAAGCTCTTTTTAGTTCTGTGGAAATGATTTTTTCTGTCCTTTGTCGTGCTGCAGCGTCTGTAAACTTTTGACTTAAAGCATTTAACTTTATTTTAGCCCTTTCAAGTTCGGCATTTTGCAGAAGCTGTCGCGCTCGATCCTGCCAGTTCATAGCTCGTTCAGTTAAGCATTGCAAAGCTTCCCCTTCAGGGACTCTGACGTATAGCTTTTGAAGAGACATCAAAAGACTTAGAATGGTGTCAAGCCGTGGCCTTTTTGTTCTCTGACAATTAGGACAAATATACTTACAGTCTTTAAATCCTAAAGCCACTGCAGCATTAAGGAAGTTGCCCTTGAATTTGGTAGTGGCAATTTTTGGAAGTTGGGTGCATGTAGAGTGGAACCAATCATGACAAAGTTCACATCTCATCATTATACCAAATAGGCCACCTCCACAAATGCAGTATGTACTGTTAGTATCATTTGGATCTAGAGATTTGGGTTTATTAATTTGCCTCAATTTCTTGATCATTGACATTTCCGCTTCCTCAGCTTCCTTAAAAAGTGCCACCACCGTTGCTGGATCCATAGTATTAGTTAAGGCTATCGACTTGGAATCTTCGTCAGCGTTTTTTCCTTTTTTGGAATTTTTTGAAGTGACTGGCAAAATCGTTCTGGGTGATAGTGCGTCCATCAATGTACAAGGCGAGTCTTTCCGCAAAAATGACCGACTGGTTTTATCTTTCCAATTGTTAGCCAATACAAGGTATTCATTCATTCGGTCTACTTCAACCAAATGAAGTGTTAGTAGCCGGCCCTTCTTTATTAGTTCCTCCATAGCACTGTAGTATGGGTAGTACTCAGCTGAATTCATTTCCTCTAACTGTTTTAGCCAGTCCCTTCCTTTCTTCATGGAATCATAAAGAACGCCCTCGGTTGGTAAATGGCACGCGATTTTCGACGCATCTTTCAGTAGTTTATCAACTTGAATCAAGACATTTGGATCTTGGCATTTTAAAACATCTTGTGCTTTCTCTTCCCATTCTTGACTTTGCTCAAGCATCAATTGGAGATTCGACAATTCTTCTTCCATTTCATTGTGCGGTGGTAATGAACAACCTTCTTGTATCAACGTTTTTATATTATCAAGCCCCATGACATCTGTTCTGTTTTTGCAATTGTCAACTTCTTTCATCCATTGAGCCTGTTTTATCCGATTATTAATCAGCTTCAAACCGGGCAACTCTATACATAAGCCATTTCCATGAGATTGACAAGTTTCAAGTTCAATTAGGGAATTTTCTCTTAAACTCTGCGTTAAAAGCTCTTCACTTTTGCTTTCAAATTTCCGAGTTTCATCCAGTAAAACCCTTATACTTTTAGCCTCATCCAAAACGCACGCTAAACTATCAATCTCATCGCAAAAGAGCGTCAGTTCCTCAACCGTTAATTTATATTTGGCTTCATTTGAGTGTCGAGTTCGAGTCCGCATTTTATTGAGATCCAACTGATGTATAACACTGGCGCATTTTTCGGCATCTATAACTGCGCTGGTTAGTGTTTGTAGCAGTTCACATTTGGGAAATTTCTTGCCATCAGCTTCATTTAGCAGCGCTTTTAGATCAGTTAAATTAAGGGTTTTTGGAGTGTTTGGATCAAGAGCGTCTTTCACCTTGGCTACCCAATGATCAAATGATTCCGCTTTTAGTTTTAAGGCTTTTAACATTACGGGAAGTTCATCCAGGGTATACCGATATCTCAGTGTCCGATTTTGCGGCGGACACTCACAAAGATTTTTATAGTGCCTCAGACAAACCAAGCTGGTGGTGGAGCATGAACACGTCATTGCAGACAAAAAACAGGTCGTTTTACATATTTCACATTGCCTTTCATCGTCTGGAAGTAACTCGAATGCCTCACGTTCTGCATTAGTCACACCCTGTGATTGAAATTCAGTATAAATGCAAACTCTTGCATACGTTTGCAGTGCATATTGGGAACAGGGTCTTTATTCAAAATAACCAGAAAACAGATATACAAAGTGTTCGGTAGGCAGATGCGTTCTAGTTGGAGGTTATTTTGTAGAGGTAATTTTGGATACATTACCCCGAGATACCATGCTCCGAAAACGCTCAGTTTTGGATCAACAGGGCGTTAGGACTTTTAATTAATCAATTTAATTATTAATGAATAAACCATTTAATTTAACGTGTTACATGCTTTGCGAGTATTAACATGCAGGCACACCTCATATGATACGCATCTGACTAAAGAATACATCAAAAAAACGCATCGACTTACCAAACACCTATGCACTACTTGGATGTGATATTAAAATAATGCTGTGTAGTTCGGGGTAAACCGTTGAAATAACGAAAAAACGTGGGAAAATTTAGAATGTCAATTTGAAAAGCCCACCAATTTCCACCATAAATATTCAAGCTAAAAGACAAACTAGAGCAAAAACTTACCCAATCAAGAAGCGTCTTCCGCAATTTCTTCTCAGTATCAACCATCACAAGCATGTCCTGATAGGTTGCCGCCGCAATAGTCAAGTCGAGCTTATCATTATCCAAAGCCATTTTGCATACCAGTTCATCGTGCGAAAATACACAAAACCGCCTTAAATGAGAATAATGTAGAATGCATTCTCTCCCCATTCGCAACCAGTCAGCAGGTGCAAAATTGACGGCCTCAGCAAAGTTGTACCTTCGTTTCCAAAAGAAATATATTTTTTTATTAAAACCTAAGTTAATTTATATATTAATAACAGTGGTTCTTACCCCTGATTAAAACCAGCATGATAGGCTCTTGGAAAAGTCACAACAAATTCTCCTGCGTGTTGATCGGTCCGGAATACGGGTACACCTGCATTCATCAGAATATTTGGATTCATAATAGTTACTAGTTGATGCAGCAGGTCTGGCTGCGAATGGAACAATTCGGGGGCCGCCGATTTCATTGTTTCCTCAAATGCCTCTGCTTTGCTGCCTGGAACGCCATACCAAGTTTTGGCTTCTCCCCAATGTAGATAATTTATTGAGTAGGACCAATGATCTTCGTTGTGCCAACAAAAGGTGGAAAAACACATTCCAACATACATCCATGGAACCTAAAACATTAAAACCACGTTTGGCTGCATATTCTTTCCGCAATCGCATTCAAGTAGATACCTTCATTCCGGAAATATCGGCATTAATGTATCCTAATACTGAGCCTTCTAAAACTGGGAGATTGTTCAAGTTCCAACTAGACTCGGCATACTCTTTATCTCCTTGAAAAAGATTTGCTGAAGATTTTGTAGGAAAGCCAGATCCATGGTCCATTGTGTGTAAGTCGGCTCCATACTCGACAGTTACATCTTCATCAATTGACGATACTATACGCCAAAATTCTCTTTCCACTGTACTAGTTGGAACCATCTACAAATCCGAGGAAATTAAAAATAACGGCAATAAGCCTCCCATTTCATAGTAACGTACATGAACTGGCATATTAAAGTAATCTGATTTAAATTGATCAGCCATTTCTCCGAATTGCTGTAACGTGTATTCCCTTTGAGCTTGCTCAAAACCAAACGCTTCAGTTGGTTTTGAAACTTCTTCTGCCACACATTTAGGGCATCTCCAATCACCCTTTGGAATTTCAGATAAGGGGGGCATAAGGCAGAACGTGTGATAACTGTCATCACAACCGTCGCAGAGCAACATATATTCTTCAGCATCTCCGCGATTACAATTATGGCAAACATACTTGGCTAACTGAAAATAAAATCCAAATTACGACTAAATGCAATAATTTTCGCTACTGGAATTCTGCATCTGCATGAAGTTCGGTAACTAATTGAATTAGTCGAGCGTCATATTTTCCATAGCTACTCAAATGCATTAGACTTATTTCTGATTTGTAAACGAACTCATAAATCTCGAACATTAAGATAAGGAAAATATACACAAATTCTCATGCATAAGCTGCCGAAGTAAAAACAATTGTAAGATATTGCATTCAATAAAGAGCCCGACTACATTACAGTTACACCTTTTATATATAAGCGAAACATGAACCGTGATGCTTTATTGACAAGGAAAAAAATGAAATATTACAATTGATGGACTTACTACACTTACAGGGTCAAAGTCGTATTTGATATTTTTTCCCCTGGGTTTCTGCTCTTTTTTATCGTCATATCCAGCCATCTTTGGCCCTGCGCCATAAAACTGAAGCCTTTTCAACTCTTTATTTTGGTCATCGCCATCCACGTCTTCCACTAAAGACTTTTCCTCTTTGATCTTAAGTTCTATCTGCAATGTAACAACAATTTTAAATGATTATAAACTGTACAGTGTCTCGTAACGAATGGATCAAATTTCGTTTAATGCTCAACTAGATTGGATTTTACTCCTGGTTCAATTTCACAGTATTCACAGTATATCACAGCACGCGGTTATTAGAAAAAATATTAGAATAAAAAAAGTGAAAAGGGGAAATACTAGAACACATCGGAATCTAGCCTTTGGTGTCTTAAAAAAATTAAGTGTTTAAACTAAATGAAATAGTTCAAGCAATCGATCAAGAAAAAGTCTTATCTGAAATTAAATACTTGTGTATCTAGAAGTGTACAATCGACAAGTTTGGGTTAGTTTGAGTCGGGTTGAATACGGGAGTCGGTTAAATATAGCGCTTCTTTAACTTTATGTTGTTGATCTGTATATCAAAACTCTTTTTACTCAGATACTTCAAAAACGCCTGCTCAATTGAATTATTACCAGAAATTAAATTTTTCCTCTCTCTGCAGATAAAAGACGTTAGAGCATGAGAAACTCTATTTCAAACCAAGGAAGAGTGTGGCTTAAGAAGTTACTTAGTTATAAATGAGTTTTATGAAATAGTAGTTTTTATAGTACCAACGGGAACGTTGTAATAAAAAACATATTTGTAAGACAATGGAAGTCCGGAAAAACATTGAAGTCGTCAAAATCAGTCCTTGCACTGTAGATAACATGAAGTCTTAAAATATAGAGTATTCTTTGAAAAAGATGGTGTCTTACCTCAGTCTTATCCTTGTCATTAGCTTCAAACCTCTTAGAGCGCCTTGCATTTTTATCCGACGGTGGCTTGACGGCCATGCGGTTTACTATACCATGCGGTTTGTAGTCTTTGTCGGTTTTCTCATTGCCTTCATCAGGACTTTCGATCTTCTGGGCAAAAAAAATCAATGAGCTTATGTGTGAATAAGAGGTACTGTTTGCGTCTTACAATAGGTACTGCTTTGCCCTCTTTAAAAACATCAAAAGGAAAAAGAAGCCTTTCATAATGTTGCTTTAGAATAGCTCCGACGTTCTTGCCAATTTGATATCCTAGACGAACTGAAACTTTAGACCATTTTCTTTGTTTGGTGACTTCTTCAAATCCACCCTCAAGCTGTACAACTCGGTGCAGAGTATACAAATCTAGAACCCGTCTTTCAACAACGGGAATTTTGAGAGACGAGCCTTGCAATTCCCAAAACTTGGCTATCCGATCAAGAAAATTTAATTTAACCCTGGTTTTCGCCTAAAAGCAGTGGTTTGGGTTAAAGACGAATAAATCGCATCGGACGGATTCAGTTTACCTCTAATTCATTTAATCTTTGTATTCTAGGTGTAAATCGTAATTTATCTACATCCACTGCAAATGGAGGCTGCCACCTCTAAAATGAAAACATATTTTTCAAAATGCTGGCTGATCCACCATATGCGGTCAGGGATTACGAATATTGACGAATTGCAAATAACAACATTTGATGTGAGGAACAGTAGAAAAATTGTTCTGTTATCAAAAGCGAAAAAATATTGGGTAAATTAAGTGAAAAGCTGAAATAAATATGGCTGCTCCCACTTCACACATTTGCCTTATATTTGCTGCATATGAACAAATACTCGGCATTATATAAAGTCAGATAGTGTCTAAATCACCATGGATTCTAAAAATAATTGAGTACTATGGTGGCTTAAAAAGTTGAGTAATAGTAATAGACATTTAAATACCAAATTGTACGGTGGTGCATGCATGTTTTGCAACTTATGGCTTACCCCTGGCGGTTTAATTTTACATATTCCTGTATTTTCAGCCACTGGCCTAATTTTAGCTATGTAAGCTAATGGGTCTAAGAATTCTTCTTCTGTGGGGTAAAACACTGGAGCCTCTGAAGGCACTTGGAACTGAAATGCTTCTTCTTTACACTGGTTATAGTGCTCATTACATTTAATTGGGGAATTTTTTGAACTTCCAGGGCTACTACTTTTTAAACCATTGTTGTTTCCATTCAACTGTTTCTCTGGGGTACTCATTTTGATAGAAATTTACATCATTATTTACAGACAAACCTTCACATTGTTTCTATGACTAGAATGGGCACCTCCATTTTCTTTATGCGTTCATCACAAATACAAATATGAAACTATAGGAAAAACTAAGGAGACACTCGGCATGTCACATCACTAGTTACTTGGTGAACAAGCAAGAAAATTGGTACCGCACTGTACAGCTTTTGCTACCTAAAACCGAATACCCAGAAACGGAAAATATATTTGTTTTCAAAATCCAATTATTTAACGTCGCCCGACATTAACGATGTCATAAAAATATAGGAAAGTTGTAAATTTGTACATTTTATCTTTTCTTTTCGATACCACAAGAGACCTCGCAAAAAGTAAACGGAGTCCATCTACATTTATACCCCCACTACCGAATCGATCGCCCGATTAGTAACAGCAGAGTCCAGTCCAGGTTTTCACTATATTTCAGATACTCGAACTATTTTTAAAATTTGCGCTAATATCACAGTATTTTTATATACTTTTTCCTATGCATTCTTCTAAGTTTCACTCTTGTTCACTCTTGGTCACCCATTGTACTCGCACTATCCCCAAATTGTCAATTTGTAGGTTAGAGTTAGACCCTCCAACTTATTTCACCAAGGTTCAGAAAAGCAATATCCGCATAGTTGCCGGATCTCGCTTGATGTTTTCCTTGAAACAATATACATACAATTTATCATTATCACCAGTCCAGTAATCAATTAACTGCTCCGCAGCCGTAATATGAGAATCAATTGGCTGATTTCCGATGCCGCCACTTGATAATTGTGGCGATATGAATATATGCTGATCAAGCACTTTTTCCTTGCATTGGAATGGAACTTAATGGGATACCACGCAACCCCCTGTATATGTTGACCATGTGGGAAGTTTGTAGACTTTTTTGAAACAGAGTAACAATCGGCAACGTACGTCCTCAAAAAAGGGTACGTGATGTACAATCTCCCAACACGAAACCGAGATGAAACTCTAAGCACTGACTACTTCAAAAATTCCTCTGGCTGACTGGAAAGGCTCCACATGGGCTAAATGTGATTTTTTTAAGCTTCAACAAAAAAATTACTGAGGAACTGCCCCCGATAAGAAACAACGCCAATTAAGTTGTTTCAACGCCAATTAGAAAATCATTCAAATCAACAATAGTAGTCCACAACTGACAAAAAGTAATTAAATCAGCGCAAACCGCCATAAACACACCTGTCTTCATCTATGAAACACACTGAAGACGCCATAGAACCAGCATAGAATTTTCCAGAAAAGCCTTATCAGTCAACAAGAATTTTGAATGCCCCGCTGAATTATCGATTGCCAAATCTCAATGCCACGTTGTCAACCTTCCTCCGATAAATTGAGTTACAGGTTATGGGATTTGTTTTTGTGTTGTGTTTTGGTGTAGTTATTCATAATGTCCAAAAATAAGCTAAATCTCACATTGCCGCCCGGTGCCATTGATCAAACACCCAATTTGACCCCAACTTCCACAACCTATGAGGAACCTAGTCAGCCTGCACCGTAAGTACTTCAAAACTCCCTCAAGCAGCATCACGGAAGACGCCTCCTTAACTGTTCATGTATTAAACTACCCCCAGTGCTCTAAGCAGCACTGAGTAATTTTCATTATAAAATATACATTCCCACTCTACACTGTAGTGTTTTCAGGCCTCCCAGTGTTGTTACAAATGACATAGACCACATAACAGCCCGGTTGGAAGAGCTGGATATGGATGATATTCAGCGAAGACGTATAGAGGTTTTTCTCTGCCAAAAGGAAAAAATCTCAGGCGATTTGTCTGATGATGATTTTGAAAAGCTTGGAGAGCTCGGTTCAGGGAACGGGGGCGTTGTCAACAAAGTTAGGCATAAATCCAGTGGCTTAATTATGGCCAGAAAACTTATTCATCTTGAAGTGAAGCCAGCCATTAAGAAGCAAATTATTCGGGAGCTAAAGATTCTTCATGATTGCAATTTTGCTCATATTGTTGGCTTCTATGGGGCTTTCTACAGTGATGGTGAAATTAGTATTTGTATTGAGTACATGGATGCAGGATCGCTGGATCTCATTTTAAAGAAAGCAGGTAGAATACCTGAAAATATTCTTGGCAAGATTACTTCAGCCGTACTGAAAGGCTTGAGCTATTTAAGAGATAAGCATGCTATAATGCACAGAGATGTGAAACCTAGTAACATTTTGGTTAACAGCAGTGGAGAGATCAAAATGTGCGATTTCGGAGTATCAGGGCAACTAATTGATTCAATGGCTAATTCCTTTGTTGGCACCAGAAGCTACATGTCGGTAAGCATCTTTTCTTACAGAGCTGCTTCCTTCTTACATACACTGAGAAAAATTCATTCTTTCTTGCAGCCAGAGCGTTTGCAAGGAACACATTACTCAGTTCAAAGTGATATATACTCACTGGGATTATCTCTAGTTGAGATGGCTATTGGGATGTATCCAATACCGCCACCGGATGCTAAAACCTTGGCAGCAATATTTGGGCAAACTAAAGAAAGCGACTCTCCTGATGGCTCCAGAGCACCTAGGCCAATGGCTATTTTTGAGCTGTTAGATTACATTGTCAATGAACCACCACCGAAGCTACCCTCTGGAATTTTCTCTCAACAATTCGAAGATTTTGTTGATAGGTGTCTGAGGAAAAATCCGGATGAAAGAGCTGATTTGAAGACGTTAATGGTCAGTTTCTATTTTTTAAGCATTTTTCAATGTTTCAGGTATCAATTTGGAATCATCTGGCACTTTTCCAATTGTAAAATATTCACTCCCGTTTAATACCTTAACTGGTCATCACCATATTATTTATAATCTGCTTTTACAGGATACTTAAGTTGGCACCATATGGAAAACTTTTTTATTATTAATTTTACGAAAATAAGTTATTCTTCATGAAAGGTTCTGCTCGGTCCAAAACCAAAAGTATACGTGCTATATCGGAAAGTTTGAATTTTGCTCAAGTATAAAGCACTTTTATTTTTGACAATATCGAAAATTGTTAAGAAAAGTTGATCAGAATTAAAAACAATATTTTAGTAGTTAGAGTTTATCGGAAATTGCTCACCATGAGACCTGTTTTGCATTTTACGGTGCCATCGAAGTTCTCTGTCAGAAACACAAAAAAATTCCTGAATATTTACTAAAACCTTTCAAGTAAAAAGTCTCGAATACTGTTGCTTTGTTCGGTTTTATCAGAAAGTGATATATCCTGCTATATAAAAAATTACATAGAAAATTCAAAAATATGTTATTTAAAAAAATATTAAATACGACGAATACATTTTTTGTAGAAATGTCGGCAAAAATACTTATCATAAACAACTTGCTGGCCATTGTCTGTGTATACACGGGAATACAATAGGAACGATGGTTTGTTTCTGTTAGTTACGCAATTATGTAAAACTCGCAAAAAAGTTGTATTGTATATAAATATCTTGTTTTTTGTGCAATATTTACAGTTTATTTAAATTTATAAAATATTTGATTTACAGAATCATCCATGGATCAAGAAATGGGAAACTGAAGAAGTAAATGTCGCAGAATGGATATGTGAAACAATGGAAATACAGCCGCCAAATAGAACTTAGTCTACTATTGTATGGAATTAGGTACGCTTTGAAATTCATTTATAATAATTTGTGGTTTAATTTTATTTTTTCGTATTTTTCCTCCAAAAAAAAACCAGTGAAATATTATGTTAAGAAATGGCATATTAATAAATTATGTAGAATTAGTAGTAATTTTAATAGAAATAATTTGAAAGCTGTGAAACGTCTTATCATCTGATGCTAAAAGTGGCCTTGTAAAAGTAACGCGTGCCACTTCAATGTTTGCTTTATTTTAAGTTACATTTTAGGTGAAACTTATAGGCCTTTTTAAATTTTGACTGCATGTTTTAGAATTAGCAAAAATAAGATTTTTAGAGTAAATATATTATCTTTGTATTACCGTAAGTTGAATAACATATTTATGATCTATGTGATATTTAGATAGTATTTATTGTTTACATACATAATAGCCTTTAGAAGCCCGTCGAATATTTAATCACATTTATCAATTGTATGCATATACGTTTTAGGAGAATCACATTTTCATCTTATACAAAACTTTAATTTCTAGTAAATGTGTCTTTCAATAGAATTAATTCCAGTCGTTTTTATTATCGCGTTATATTGACTCAACAAACCTTTTCCTGAGCGAAGTCGATAAGTTCAGGTTTATAATGCATTTCCCGATTAACTATGAAGAGCCCTGGTATTATGCGATAAGTGAGTATGAATGCTTTTAATTACAGTATTGGATGGCTAAAATAATCGCACTAAGAGTGCGGAACTCAAAATAATTTAAATGGTATATAAATATTACAAGTTTTAATGATGGGAATTTTTGATCGGGTAAGAAGAATTATTTTTATTTTTCAGTTATTTTAAAACATTACATTTTTTGATAAATTAGCAATATTGGCGGTAACAATTTTTTTAATTTGAAAGCTCTAGAAATGTCCGAAATTGTTTTAATCGCAGCGTATTATAAAAAGAAACGGGTAAATTCCGCGCACTTTGTTATGTTCATTAGACAGAGACAAGAAAGTGAAAGCTTCTAGGAATTTTTGTTGAATCAGAGTGATATTTCGAGTTGCGCACGCGCTCGTCTAAATGTCCCTACCACGTGTAGTGGTGGTGGTGTTGGCATCACTGAATGACACTATTTCAACGTCTCTTGTCAATTGTTGCCCTTTCCTTCCATTACGGCTTATTCTAGGTATGTTTTCATCGGAATTTCTAGCAGATAATCCGGAAATATCTCTTTAATCAAGAACCATATTTAAAAAACAGGAGTCGATTTTACTTCCTTCACAATTTTTCAGTCCGATTAAACTAAAATCCATCCCAATTTATTACAAGTTACTTAGGTTATTCGACTTAGAAGTTCGTGCAGTGATCCAAGTGTTTTTTGTTCCAGGTATAGAAATGGGTCGTTACGCTCGTGAACCTGATAATGCCGTTAAATCGTGCAAAGCCCGAGGATCAAATTTGAGGGTACATTTCAAAGTAAGTTGAGTTTTTCCTCCATTTGTTTAACTTTAACCAAAGTTAACCTCAAATCTTGAAGTCTCCAATGTTTGGTAACTCAAATGCTTCTAGAATTTGTTTTACTTACATGCTAATATTCTCCAAAAGCTGATTTTGCTATATTGAAAATTACGCAGTAGTTCAGAGGCTCGCCATAATTCCGTATTTATATAAAATCGGCATGGGATTTATTGGCCATGTGGGTCTAAATATTCAGTGTAATTTTCACTGGGAAGTGAAACTATCATAATTTCATATCTAGGAGTAAGTGCAAGAAATTTGGGAAAAGTAACAGTGTCTGAATATACTTGCAAGTCTCAGATTTACCGGCAAGCTTTTCCAAAAAATCATGGTTGGAACGTAATAGAACTTCGCCCTTAAGTGGCATTTAAAATCAAAAATCTGCACAGGCAGAAATAGAAAAAATGCGACATTGAGACTTATTGCATCAAAAAACCTTCATCAAGAGCAGTCAAATGTGGATAGAGATAAGAAAAAAGAGTGTTGTTTTTCGCATACTGCTTACACGTACATAATATAGAAATTTGTAGGCTTCCTTTGGTTAGGGCATTATCTAAAGCTAGCAAGTATTAACTGGCCTTTGTACTTATTTAGCTTTGGTTTGCTACTGATTCAATTGGTGAATGAGTAACAAGCGAATAAACTATAAACGTAAAATTATCTACCTACCTTAATTTTGCTAAATAATTATGTTTTTTTTTATTACAGAACACCTCCGAGACCGCTAATGCTATTAGGAAAATGCCCCTGAAAAGGGCGCAAGCTTATCTTAAGAACGTGATTGGCAAAAAGGAGTGCATTCCTTTCAGACGTTTCAATGGTGGTGTAGGCAGATGTGCACAGGCTAAGCAGTTTGGCACAACACAAGGACGTTGGCCAAAGAAATCTGCTGAATTCCTCCTTCAGCTTTTAAGAAATGCAGAGAGTAACGCCGACTACAGTGGCTTGGATGTTGACAGGCTGGTCGTAGACCATATCCAGGTAACGAAAATCTTTCATAAATATGCAGCAGTTCGATATGCGGCTTTGAAGTTTTGTGGATAGTGCTTTATAGCGTTTATCTGAGTTGTAGTTGATAAAAATAATGTTGCAGGTTAACAGAGCCGCATGCTTGAGGCGTCGTACTTACCGTGCTCACGGTAGGATAAACCCATACATGTCCTCCGCATGTCACATTGAGCTATGGCTTACCGAAGGGGAGTCAAATCCCCAACCCGTTACAAAAACTAAGGGAAAAAAAGCCCCCAGCGAAAAAAAGGCAGTGTTATAAACTAAATGAGTAATTTATGTATATTTATTTTTTGTATGAAAGGTAAATATACGTATACTTTTAAATAAATTCAACTGCTTGACAATTTTGTTTTCCTTTTTGGCTTTTGATGCATCCTTAATTCCTATATGATGTGAAAATAAACATTTGAGTGGATCACGAGGACCATTCCATCAATAAAAAATGCGTCTTTTGTGTCTATTAAATATGGGCGATTCAGTCTATGTAGGTCCGGTCAAGGTCCTATTGCTATGCTCGCAGGTATTTTTGTCATCATCAAATTTAATATGAGCCGAAGGTTATCGCAGCACATCGATCGTTTGTGTATTATGGCAAAGCCATGTTAGATAAACAACAAAACACATTCACATGTCTTTGTATTTGATATCAATTAGCAGAAATCTTACATACTCTAATAATACATCGTCTATTGCTACGCTTAACTAACAAAAATCTGAAGCATATTAAAACGGGAAGTGAATCGCTGGAGTACATTAATACTTAAGTTCATTAGTCTAATGCTTAAATATTTTCTAGATCCTGAGGAAAATTAGCGGGCATGCTTTATAAACATGTTAAAAAGCCCTAATATAGGACAATTCCTTTCTTATAGGTAGAGTCAAATTTGGGATTACATTAGAAATCGGGACTTGCATTGAATAGTTTCCTGCTTGAATGCGCAAAATTATGGAATGTCCGCATATTCGAAAAAGCCATTCACAAATTCAAGAAGAGTGAACATCACTACAATAAATTATCAGCTACTTTGCTTACCGAACTATAATTTTGTTCGTTTTTTGATGTAGTAGCTTCCATTTTGGGCCATTTTTTTCTTGTGAACTTTCCTATGCTTTGCCAAGTGATCGGATCTAGCAAAAGCCTTTTCGCATAGTTCGCATTTGTACGGTTTGATGCCCGAGTGAGATCTCTTGTGGCGGGCGAGTTCATCTGATCTCGAAAATCGCCAAGTACAATTTTGCCAGTTACATACGAAAGGCTTTTCGCCTGAATGTCTCCTCAGGTGAGCTTTGAGATGCGAGGATTTTGCGTATATTTTTTCACAGTTCAAAATCGGGCATGTGAAATATTTGTCATCATCCGATTTGATTTTATACGTATAGTCATGATCTCGTTTCTTGAGAAATAAAGCGTCTCGTTTGGCGTTCGACTTCGAATCGTTGAATTGTGAACAGGTACTTTCATACAGCAAATTTCGCCTTCGTCTGTTCTTTTCATCGTTCATATGGGGAAACATATTGCCAATGTTTTGGGTATCGTAATCAGTAGCCGGATTATCGATCCCTAAGTTATAATCCAAAGGAGTGTTTATGAACAAATCATTTGCTCGCTCGCAAAACTGGAAATCTAAGTCACAGGCGTCGTTGAAAGAAGCACTGAATGGGTCACTTTGCAAGTCCAAATCCACCCCGAGAACCGACATTGCTTGGTTGTCCAATGGCGAATTGTCCAAAAAGTTCTCGAATTCTAATATACTATCATTTGAATTTTCCGAACTTTTTTCCGGACTGTCCAATAAACTTTTAATGATGCTATCAAGGAATTTGTCATCTCCATTGATCACTGCGTAATCCTTTTTTGTGGTCAACGGTTCAATGCACGAATATCCTGCAGGCTCATCTTCAAACGGCAGAAAGTCCAAAAAGGTATTTAGTTGCAAAGAACTTTCCTCGTACAGGACGTCAGCTATTTCTCCTCCAGGCATGGCGCTAAAAAGAAAATCTCGTCTTAAAAATCACTACCCACACAGGATGCGTCTACGTTCCATTGGTATTTATAAAGGTACTATTCAGAGTCTTAACACTACTGGTGCCATGGACCTACATAAATCTTTAAATTGAATTAAATTACATTAGTTAACTTGTAGTACATTGAAATACCGCCGAATGAATTGTAATGAATAATACGTTCGGTTGTTTGTATTTCCAGCTTATTTAATTTTCATTTATGATGCTTCAATTAGGTTCCGTCGTCGATTTGAATCGTTAACATTTTTCAATTGATTTCGATTTTGACTGTATAATTAATCGAATTTTTCGCTAGGAGCGTCGATGTATTTCATACTCCTACAAATTGTTTCTTAGAAGAACTAGAACCAATTGAATTGAGAACTTTCTCTGAATGGTTTGCGCAAAACATGAATTTCCTAATTTTTTAATAAGCGGGATTGAACAAACAGCGTTCGCCGAGCAACTGCAAACTATTGCTTCGAGGAAATGGCGAATCTGCCCAAGAATGCGGCTATAATCCTCAACTATTAACGCGATAAAAAGTTCTCACGTCTCCCTTCAAATATTCATACTTCCACTAATTAAAAATACGGACTTTCATCATTCTAACTCCATTTTAATACAAACATTTAGAAAAATTATTGCGAAAAAAACAGTCAGAGTTCTCACTCCAAGGGGTTTTTGGCCCTTTAAGAAACATTTTTTCTAGGTATGTGGATCAAAAATTTTATGAACATGAAAATTTGCTGGATACCGTGCGTCATGAGAAAAAGAAATAAATGACTGAAGGTAGACCGAATATAGATTTTTTGCTAAACGATTAGAAGCGAATAAATGTGATTTTTTCAGAATATCAAGCTGATTTCCGAATATTTCCTTCGTATCATATACTGCCAATTGGAAATCTCCAATTTTCGAAAAATTACAGCAGTAGTTAACCAAAACATTGAATTTAAATCGGCTCGAGAAGCAAAAAATAATTATCTTCAAAGAGAGCTTTTTACGCTTGTATCATCAAATTCAGCAATGTGATTTTCCTTTGCAATGCACCTAATAAGGAACAGATTCTTATTATTCAAAGAGCCCAGCAGAAAACGAACTCCTTCATCAGGGCGGCCACAATACGGAATTAAACTCATGCAGTTTTCAGACAACAAGTTTTCTTGCAAAATCATCGCTAATTTTCCTTATCAACCCCCCATTTTCTCTAATCGAGTTGACAATTAAAAATTGCGCTCGGACGATATTTGTTATAAAAATAATAGAGCAGCTACGAAGTAAAAATGAGTTTCAAGCACTTTTCAAGTGCAAAAATCGCTTTCTTATGATTATACTCCCGTTATATTGAAAACGTAGCAAGGTGAAACTCAAAATCCCCAGATGGTTAAATCCAAATATTTTTTCAGAATCGAAAAGTTTATCAGAATGACTAATGCAATTAAATTAAGTTTTGAATTAATAACAATTTAATTGCATCAGTTCCAAAATGAAAGCAATTCACATCTTAAGAAGCAGAAACACAATTAATTGTGAAATATATGTTCAAATTTAGACCGATTGAAAAACCAATTTTATTTTAACGAGTTGTTGATCATGAATTAATTGCAACTTGCCTGCATTCACTGAGAACAATCCAAATTTATATTGAAACTCTAACTATTTCACAATAATTAACAACACACAGAAAATTCGACTGCATTTATCAAAGTGCTGTTGTGTGATTTGGTCATCGACTGGCATAATGAAATCTCGAGTATCCATTTATAAACACATGCTACAATACTCCCGAGGGATTTTTTTCAAAGGTTGTTAAAATTTTATTTTATTAGTCCGTGTCAACTATTGCCTAGCACTAGTTTGTCTTTGGTTTGCATTTCATCCCTAGAGATTTATGCATGTTTAGCCATTGGGGAAGAATTAGATATTACAGCGGTACTAAACAGTACCATGTATCCTTAGTTTCCGCTGGATGCACTAATATTTGTTTAGGCACAAAGGAAGTAATTAGCCAATTTGTATTTTTTTTAAATCGGCGTGTTTGTTAATTTGGTTTTTGGATGTTTTTGATTCCAAGTAAAAAAATCTAGTTGGCATGTTCTTAAACTACTTTTACCTTCAGTTTAGTAGCCAACAAAAGACCGACTTTTCTGAAGAGAGATTGATCGAGAAAAACTAAGTTGAGAATTTTCAATTTTAGTTCATAAATTTAAACATTTTGTTTTATGCTGATCGACTGTAGGTTGAGGATGTATACAGATAGTTTGTCACAAGTTGATAACGTTCCAGTCAGACTACATGCGAGCCGGACTGATAATACGTTAATTGGTTGGTACCAATTAAAATTTGTAACTCAATATGTTTTCAACGTATTTGCCATGACGTTTTTGGTTCAGTTGAATTATTGCTTTATCGAAAAATTTTATTACAGTTAATTTTTATGCGATACACCGAAATAAGGACAATCAGCTTGCAAAGGTCAATCATTGTTGTTATTTTCGATCTGAAATATTCCACTAATACATGGTGATTCAATAACAATGGGAAATCCGGAATGATAAACATAGGTACAACGTGTTGAACTTTAACTTTCAAGTTTTACTCTTCTTTGCTCAAGAAGCGTCGACATATGGGGATTTTCTATGTATATCGGATTTGCATGCTTTCAATTTGTCTAAATTATGTTCATGCCTGTGAACAATTATACAGGGTGTTAGGAAATAAGTGCGCCAAAGTTCAAGAGGTGATTCTGCATGAAAAAATAGTGACCCTTTGCTTATGATTCGTATGTATTTTCTAAACTTGTTGCTGCAAAAAATATTTTCCATGACGAGTTCAAAGCTCGAAATTTGCGAGCTCACCAGTTACATTATCAAAATAATTTTTTCGAATTCTTCGTGATCGAAAAAAGCGTTCAGGACCATTGCTTGAAGCATATAATTCTTAACAGACCATTTTCAAAGAAAACCATTCCACAGTCGCTAGAATAGCATTCCAATTAATCGTGTACCAGATATTTCCGTAAAGTGGAATTGAAGTGCAATTAATCAAATAAAATTTGTTCAATCCGTGAACAATGAACATCCTGAATTTAGAATGAATTCTCATTATTATTATCTGATGTTTGGAAGCAGAGCTTTGTTACGATTAGTGATTTCCACCGGTTGCACCAACAATTTTTTTGTAGTTAGGCTTGGACTCTTCGTTGCTTGTACGAAACTGGAAGAAAAATATACGCTTCTGTATTTCAAACGAGGATCGAAACTATTAATGTCGAAGATTTGCAATCCGGAGCATTGGGAAGTCGTTCATTCATTATATTCTTACGTAAAATAATTGAAAACTGAAATGCGGCTTTTCTTATTTTTCGCTATCTTTGTCTGCTTTATTTTTCGATGTTTTCCTTTATGCGCTCCGACTTGCTAGTTGTTTTTAAAATGTTTTTAGCAAACGATGCAGATGACACACAGGTCGCTCAGAGAAGTTACTATAGCGTATAATTTTTAACTTAAAACCTTAAATTAGTATGTATTGTTAATGGCAGATATTGCACTTAGGATTTTCCGCATACTTAAAAGACGATTTTATCAAATCGGTCCTGCTCACACTTTTATGGTGCAAAAACCGTGACTATATTGAAACTCGTTCACCTGTGCAGGAATTATGTCTTTTGTCACCCCTCCATAACTAATTCCGTTATTTAGTAAAGTTTACTGACATTTCAGCTTCACATTTGCGTATTTTCAGTATAGTTCCGATATGTCTATTTGAACACTAGTGACCACATTTCCGTGCCAAGTCCATTCAAAGCCTATGTAAGTACTATTATTTTTACTGCATAAGCATGGTTTATATGAAGCGTTTGCAAACCATCAAGCAACTAAGCCTTAAAAATTATTAGGTGCTTTAGAAATGTTTTCCTAGCATTAATTCTGGAACATCCAGGAGCTTTAATCAATCAAGATTCTGCGGAGTGTTTCTGTCTTTCAAGCTTTTCTGAAAGCACGAAAAACTCACCAGTTTCAAACGGCGCTCGGAGGAAAATATTAAAACCTCGAAGAACTAACTACTGGTGGCAAAAACCTAAATTTACTGATACTTTCAGCATGTTTCAATTTGTGAGATACAAAAAAACATTGAACAACCCCAAGTTTCAAAACGAGTGCCAATTATCGTTAATTTATTTTAATGAAGCACCAGAAAAATCAATGTTATCTCTTTAAGAGCGGAAACCTTTTAATCCAAAGCTAGGAACAGGAAAGACCACCGTTGACTATTGAACAGGAAATAATATCGCCACTGCAAGCTAAAGCACTGTTTTTATTTCATAAACAATATTACAACATTTATTAGCAAATTCCTAGGGAGTTTGCTGAAAATGTGTATTTTCATCTTGCAAAATTGCGCTCCATTAAGCTTGATATCATGCAAAACTTTGGTTCCGGAATAGTTTAAAGAGTGAAGGCAAAATCGTACTTCCGGTTTGTTTGTCGGTCTTTTAGGTCATTGTATTGCTTATTTGTTTCGATCTACCGTACCGAAAGAGATAGATGGCCTTGTATAATTCCAATTATATGATTTTTATGTAATTACCGGTCATAGTCTGTAAGTTGGTCATTAGGCGACACAAAATAGCCTGATTTGCCTTGGGCTTAGGCAGATTATCTGGTTTGTTCAACACATTTTGTTTGTCTTTTCAGCAACACATTGCCCCATATTGTATGACCACAGTATGAGCATATTGTTCCTGCTAACACTAAAATGAGTTCGACCGTTTTCGTATTTGAAGTGGCAATGTTGATGAGTTTTTGCTTAGCACAAGACTACGCCTTTATAGATGATATTCCAATTGAAAGTTATGATCACGGAGATCATCAGGAAAATGACATGGATCTGGAGCTACTTCCTGTGAGACGGGGGCGATCCTCGTCCTCAGATGAAGACCCCAAGGACTATTTTTTCAGGTAGACAAATAATTAGATTTTTTACGTTTTTTAAAGTATGCATTCTTAGATCTATGAGGTCATTTGATGACTTTGATGACGTGAGAACCCTGGGGCCGTATCAGAACATTCCAAGGCCCCCCCTTCAGAGTCAGGCTCAGGAGAGGCAAAAACGGAGTGCTCCCGCGACTCCGCTGCTGTCTCCCAAAAGAGAGGATTCTTTAAATGGAGTAATAAAAAACCTTGGAAAACCCTTAGAAGTGGTATCGCTAGATACCAGAAATCTCACTCAAAAGGACGATGAAGCCGAAAGCAGACTGGCTACTGACGAAGTAGCAATTAATGATTTCATTAGGTTTAGACGAGCTGCCAATGTCGAGGAGTCTGGAGGGAAAGAGAGGTGAGCGGAGTTTTCAGCTAATGTTTCGATGAAACCAGAACGAGTTTCAGCAGTGGCCAACAGAAGAAAGTCCCTTTGTCTCAAAAACTGATGATGGAAGCTTCAGACGAAGATATGAATCGTGAAGCACGAGGAGCGATTAAGGAAGAATGGGTGAAGCAAGTGTACCCTGTTCGGAAAGAGGATGAAATGTCGTTTGAGGACAATATTCCTTCTTCCAGTGAACATCTAAGGGTTCCGCGGGTACACTTTGTTACCCAAAAATTTACAGACAATAGATTGGCGTCATCGGATATGAGACCATACGATAGAGAGCCCAGATCTAGGCGGATTGACCGTCTTCCTGTTCGAGATCCTCCTAGAGACCTTGCTAGAGATATTGAGGAGGATAATCCTCATTTTGAGAGAAGCTATAGGTCTTATGGGCAACCCATGGAAAGAGGCAGGGCATTTTACAGGTACCTTCATCGGTTTTTGAGAATATTTCTCAGTTTATATTGGTTGTTTCTAGAGATGAATATCCCCGGTATGATCAAAGGGATTATCGAGAATACCAACGTCCAAGATACCAAAACTACGAACAATCGCGCAATGATTTCGGTTCCTTGATGCAAAAACCACAGAAACGTATAATTTACTATGCCACTCTGCCTGAGATATCAAGAAGCCCCCCAAATGTGGACCTTAGGGACCGATACCGATACGAACGGGACAGGTACGATGACAGATACGTACAAGACCCGTATAGATTTAGGAAAAGTTATCCTCCAAAAGCGCGATATGAAGATGAAGGCAAAACTCCCTATCCTGTGAAAGTATTGACCGATGTCAATGTAAGGGAAGTCAAGAAAAGTCCAGAAAGAAGGATTTACTCCGAAGTTGATCGGAATAGATATGCATATAACACTCCCCCTTATCAAGCAGCGGATGGGTAAAATGTGGCCTTTCACATACTACACCAGTAACTTAGTGTTTTAGGAACATTTTATTTAAAAAGGAAATATTTGCTAGACTAATAATATTTATTAGATTTTATGTATTAAATTAGTTATTCATTTGTATTTTTTACTTGATTTTTTAAAATAAACTTTGTAAGGAAAAAGAAACTTTAATTTATAACAAACTCCTATTAGAACAGTGTAATGCTAAAGCTCAGTATTTCTATGTGTACTAATTTCATTTCCCGTCTTTTAGCTCCAATAGCTGGGTTCAGACTCACAACAACACTCTTGAAACCTGCAGTTGTATTTCGCCGATGTAAAAAATCTGGGCGGTAGGCCAATGGATTTTTATATCACTGCAAATGCATTTTTCAACTCCTTATTGAATCCCACTTTTTCTTATAAATTGGTATTAGGGCAAACGAATTACTTTTCTACTGATTCTTACTTAATAGCTTTAATGCTCTGTTCATAATTTCAATAAACACTTTTCTAGAATAAATACATTGAATTAGAGGGAATACGAATTGCAGTTTGAATGCAAATGAATCGCGAACGCAAGAGATGACTTTTACCGCGTTTACACATAGATTATTTAGCGACAAAACCAACATCCATAAATTTATATTTGCCCGCCTCGCCGTGCCATAAATTGTCTTTTAGTAGATTAACTTTGCATGCATTGACTTCGGTTTACTTTACCTTTACATATTATCTAAAGATTATTCAGTGAGCGTACATGGAATGGGTATAAGGTGAACCTAATTCACTTTTCAATTAAACAAAATAATGAATAAATCAGTCTTAGTCAAGACATATATAAGATTAACCTTTTCTCTCTACCTTTATTTTTTCCAGTGTTAATGCAGTTTTTTCGAACTGAATGTATTTGCTGTAGGCCTCAATTCAGTTAATTTTTAGGAGTTGGCGCAGTGCGGCGCAAATGGCTTTTGGTTCCAAAAGGCCATTGGTTAATAATATTTTTAAAACGTCTTCAAATTTCAGAATTTTCCACTAACAAAGGTATTTTTCGCGAAAAATTATGAAATAAATTTCGAATCTTTCGTCGCTTTGGAAAAAGTTTTGAAATCCCCTGAAAATCAAACAATTTTCTATCAATCAACGAACAGAATAAGCGAAAGTCTATAACAGTTTATTTGGAAATCTCATCACCTCCATTCCTCTGATGACCAAGAATTTGTTAAAAAATGTGTTTTTATTAGTTATGACTGATTTTTGTAAACTTTACTTTCTACTAAAAAACGCTCTATTTCGTAGAGTTTCACTTTAAAATTCTTACAATCTGGAGGACTTTTACGCGAAAAATTACAAGATAAATTTAGAGCTTTGTAAAAAATGTACAAAAACTTTTTTCAGTGTCGAATTCGGGACAAAAGCGAAAATAAATTCCTACCGTTTCTTCCCGAAAACAATTAAGTTTTCTCCAAAACCGATCACGAAACTAAAAGTTTTAAATCGAAAACGCAAAAAAGCATTATTTTCTGATGATTTCCTTCTTTTTTGACAATAATAGGTCTTTTCAGTCAAAAATGAAAAAATTAATTTTGCTAGAAAATTCGCTCCATTCATCGGTTGCAGGGAACTTTAGAAAACCCTTTTCAGCTTCAAATTTGGCACAAAAACCAAATAATTTTATTCAGTTTTTTACCGAAGTAATTAGGACTATCTTAAAAAACGACCAGAGAGCAAAAGTTTACAAAAAATTATTGGAAAAATTTGCCGCCCTCATCGCTCTGAAGATTTCTAAAGTTCCTTTAAATTTTCAGGTCATTCCAGTTTTAACAAAGTTTCAATTAAGAGATTCTTTCTAGGCAAAAATTGCATTATTTTTTAGTTTTACGTAAAATACTGACAATCTTCAGGTATTTTCTGTGAAAAATTATAAGATACATTTTTTTATAAAACACCCGCCTCCTTAACCGCTTTGCAAAAATGTTTGGAAAACTTTTTGTAGCTTCGAACTATGGACAAAACCCTAATATTTCTAGACCTTTTTCCAAAAATATTTCCCGGAACTGCAAAAGCGAAAGTTTATAATCAGTTACTTGGAAAACTCTTGGAAACTGGAGTTTCTTCACTTTTTGGTCAATATTTCTAAACAACACTGTCTCTAAACAGAAAAACCGCGTTTTTCCTGACGTTGTGCTGTAAAATGCTGGCAAACTGAATCTTTTATGCAAAGAAATGAAGAGATCGATTTTACAAGAAAACTCGTCGACTTTCTATGAACTCAGTTCTGTTGCTGGGAAAATCTAGATTACTACGTTACTTAGAAAAAATGTTAATAACCCTTTTTTAGGTCTGAAAATTCCAGTCTCGGGTCTCGTGTAGCTTTAACAAATAACTTATAACTCATTTACCGATGAGTTATAACTCGTCAATTCTGAGAGCGGCAACAACTCAATAGCGCAACTCAACACAGTGTACCCACGCCTAATTTGCTTTTGTATAGTTTTTCTTGGAAAATCTTGATGTGCAGTAGATTTACAATGTAGTTATGCGTTGATAATTGTTTGAACAGATTTTTTCAGAAACGTTTTTTTTCATTTATGCAAGACACAGTTAAAAGAACACAATCAAAAAAATCTGTCACAACTTGCAAAGCAAATATTTTGGGCACTTATTTTATATTGAATAGGAGGTTAAATAGTGATTTTTTCATTGGGGCTTCAAATTACAATGATTACCAACGGTTACTTTTAATTGATTATATTGTCTAATTGGCGAATGAATGCCTCAATGTTTGAAAGCCGTTGATTATTTCCTTTCCGGGTAAATCGGTTGTGACTTTTTATGTATTGCAAAAGGAGAGCAAAAAATCTATTGCCAAAAGATAAATAGGCAAACCTGTCTGAGTCTTGTTTGCTAAAAATATACAAGTTTAATTTGTTATTTAACAAAAGTCGCCGTTTGGTTCGATTGAGTTTTGCAAAACTTGGATGATTCACTTACATTTTTCAAGGGGTGAATTTTGTATGTCTTCAAAGGTGAAAAACATGGACAAAACTGTGTATTATTTCCTTAAAACTGATCATTTTGAAATCTTACTTCGAATGTTTGTGAAAGCGCTGTTGTCCTATTTGTACTTCGAACGAAACAGCCATGTGTCTCGGACGTCGAGCAACGCAATCAATATAAGAAAAAAAATGGACAGAAATGGTAGCCCGAATTACTAAATCTTCTACCACCATCCAAGTTGAATAAACACCGGGTTATCTATGTAAAGATTTATTATTTCAGTGTTGCCGATGGTATCTGCAATATCTTAATTTATGGATCAGGACTCTCATTAGTTCGGCTTCGCGTCGTCAAAGAAGCAATGTTTCCTGTTGCCGAGGCAAAACCTTAAAGACAAAATAACAGCATTTTTTAATGTACTATTCGCAGACATAGTAAGAATGTATCCATTATGTGAAAAGGTATTCACATCGTTATAACGTTAATTGCGTCATTCGCCTGATTTTAATCGGCCCTATTAATGAAATTTAACTTTATTTGAATATTTCAATTCAAACGTGATTAAGCGTAATATAGATTTAGACCATTACGTATGCGTAACCCAATTTGATTGTGCTAAAAGAAATTAATTAAAATCATTTTCTTCCATCTGGGAAGTTAGTGCCTGAAGAGGCTTTGATGATTACACGTAGTAGTAATTTATTACCCGATAAAATCAGAAAATTATCATAATGATTGCTGTCTTCTGTCCCACACTGTTCTTGTGACTAGCTTCCTTATGCATATTCATATCATCACATGCAAGGAGATTTTTATCAGCGGCCTTATTTCTTATTCTCTCTAAGACAATTTACAATTTTAAGAATGAAATAATGAAAATGAATAAGGGCCGTTTAAAAGTAGTGGAACAGGGGGCAATATTTTGCAACACCGTTGGTAAACCACTATAGCGAATATGGAATATTCAATTTAAACGCAACATTAATTGAATATTCAAAAGCCATATATTTCTACCAGATCTGGAAAAGTGAATAAATAAAACAGCAGCGAGCAGACTTCCAAAATCAAATAAAAAGGAATTACGAAAAGGCGGGATAAATAATAAATTCGGTGAATGTGATTAAAAAGCGTGTACCTGATGACATCTATACCATTCCGTCGTATGCGGCATATCCCAAAGGAAATTATGATATTCCCACCTATCTTCTTTATCCAACGGTTTTTAGTGGTGCATAGACACGAGGCAAAATTACAAAAACGCGCTTTGCGAGCACCTATTTGCTTTAAATTGAATCGCAGCTATAACTTTTCCACATGCCAGACGCTCTACATTAATCTTTTTTATTTATTTTCATTGCTACTCCAATCAGATCCATTTTTCCCGTTTACATTCTTCGAATTAGCGAAAACGCTTTCTCCTACTCGATAAAAGAGATAATAGCACCAAGTGACTAGTGATTTTTCACCCTTTAGCCTACCTACAGTATCTTTCCCACTATAGATCCAAATACTCAGTACATATAGATATTTATATTAAGTCGACAGCTGTGCAACGGGCAAGAAAACACCTTTGTAGATGATTTTTGAAAAAAAAAAAAAAAATTTAAATGGCTCAAAATCTGGCGATCTTTAACCAATGATATTTTCCTTATGTACACTCAAACACCCTATTGTGCCTAAGAAATTAAAGTTCTAAATCAATCAAACTTCTTTCTTAAAAATTTCCTAACGCATTTTCCGGGCACTCTGTATAGGGTGTTTCATTTAAAATAATCAAGTTCATAAAAATTGTGATTCTGCTGTATCAAGGTTTAGGGCTTTTCGAGCAGATTACGGTCGACATAATCCAAAGAGCAAACAATTTCGAACAAATTGGAAAAATTTGAAGAGACTGGATCGGCTACTGATGTTGGATGGCTTGTGCATCATCGGAACACTCGTTCAGCTGAAAATGTCGCTGTTGTTGCTCAAAGTGTGGAGGAAGACCCGAATTCGTCGATTCCCCGATGGGCTCAACATTTGGGCTTGTCTTACGGCTCATTGTGGCAAATTTTGCAATTGGATTTGAAGCTCCATCCGTACAAAGTCCAACTGACTCAAGAGCTTAAGCCTCAAGACTATGGGCAACGCAGAACATACGCAAATTGGGTGATTGAACAACCAGCCGTTGATGATGATTTTT